ACAGGAATGAGATGATATCTTGTTGTGGTTTTGATTTACACATCCCTGATAATGAGTGATGTTGTGCATTTTTTCATATTCCTGGCCATTTGTATGTCTTCTTTCAAGAAATGTTTATTCAGGTCCTTTGTCCTCTTTTAAGCCGGGTTACTTATTCAAAGGTTTACTATTGAGTTGTTTTGAGTTACTTATGTATTTTGGATTAATCTCTTACCAGATGTATAATTTGCAAGTAAATTGTTTTCTCCTGTTCTGTAGGTTGTCTCTGCATTCTGTTGTTTGTTTCTTTTTTGTGTAAAAGCTTTTAGTTTGTGATCCTATTAGTGTATTTTGCTTTTGTTGTCTATACTTTTGAGGTCATATCCAAAAAGTCAGCTCCCATACCCATGTCTTAGAACTCTTTCCCTATTTTCTTCTGGTGGTTTCATAGTTTCAGATTTTATAATTTTTAGTGTAGAGGTCTTTCACTTCCTTGGTTAAATTTATTCCTAAGTATTTCATTTTCTTGTAGCTATTGTTAATTAGATAGTATATAGAAATATTACTGATTTTATATGTCTAATTCATGTCCTATAACTTCACTGAATTCATTTATTAGATTTAATATTTTTTGATACAGTTTTAAAGTATTTTCTCTATTTAAGACCATGTAATTTGCAAATAGTAATAATTTGGCTTCTTCCTTTCTGATTTGGATGCCCTTTATTTCTTTCTCTTGCTTTGTTGCTGTGGGTAAGACTTCCATTATTGTGTTGGGTATAAGTGGCAAAGTGGGCATTTTTGTCTTGTTATAAATCTTGGAGAAAAAGCTTTTGTTTATACCCATTCACTATCATGTGAATGGCTGTGGGTCATTGCTGTGGGTTTGTCATGTATTATCTATTATTGTGTTGAGGTACATTACATCTATACCTAATTTCTTGAAAATTTTTATTATAAAGGGATGTTGAATTTTGTCACATTTTTTTTCTTCCTGGATCAAAATACACTTCCTGGATCGGTTGAAATGATTATACAGTTTTTGTCTTTAATTCTGTTAATGTGTTGTGCCACATTTATTGATTTGTGTATATTGAACCCTGGGATGAATCTCACTTGATTATGGTGAAGGATCTTTTTAATGTGCTACTGTATTCAGTTTGCTAGTATTTTGTTAAGATTTTTGCATCTGTGTTAATCAGGGATAGTGGCCTAGTTTTCTTTATTTGTTGTGTCCATATGTGGTTTTGGTATCAAGGTAATGCTGACCTTGTAGAATGAATTTAGAAGTATTACCTTCTCTTCAGTTTTTTGGGAATAGTTTGGGAAGGAATTGGTATTATTCGAATTCAGCAGTGAAGTCATAGGGTCCTTGGTTTTTCTTTGATGGCAGACTTTTTATTACTAATTCAATTTCCTTATTACTGGTCTGTTCAGATTTTCTATTTTTTTAAAAAATAATTTCATCTTGATAGATGGTATGTGTCTTTTTACCAGTGAGTTTTATACTTTCAAATTCCCTTTAATATTTATTGTAAGGCAGTTCTGATGGTAACAGAGGAGAGTTTTTCTGGGTACAGTCTTCTTTTTTTAAAGTATTTTTTTAGTTGTAGATGTACACAATATCTTTATTTTACTTATTTTTATGTGGTGCTGAGGATCTATCCCAGTGCCTCATGCATGCGAGGCAAGAGCTCTACCACTGAGCCACAACCCCAGCCACCCCCCCCACAGTCTTCTTGATTGGCACTTTTTTGTCTTTAACACTTTGAATATAGGATCCCACTTTCCCCCTTTCTTATAAAATTTCTACTGAGAAGTTTGTTACTAGTCACATTGTAACTCCTTTATATATAGTTTACTTCTTTTATCTTACTGTTCAAAATCTTCTCTTTATCTTTAGTCTTTGACAGTGTGATTAAAATATGTCATGGGATAGTCTTAAATTTGGAGTAAATATTGTTGGAGATTTTAGACCTTTCTGTACCTGGATATTTAATTTCTGGGGATTGAACAAAGGGATGTTCTATCAGAGCTATATCCCCACCCTAAGTTGCTGACACTGGCTTTGAACTTGTGATCCTCTTGCCTCAGCCTCCCAAGTTGGTGGTGGATTATAGGCGTCACCACCATGCCGGGATATAACCTATTTCTCTTTTTTTGTAGTCCCTCTTGAATACAAATGATTTATGCATGTGTTCTTTTGATGCCGTCCCATAAATTCTGTACTCTTGGAGCATTTCTTTTATTCATTTTTTCTTTTCTCCTCTGTATGTTTTCGAATACCCATCTTTGGGTTTACCCATTATTTTGCTTGATCAGTTCTACCATTGATACTCTGTTGCATTTTTTTTCATCTATTGTATTTTTTAGGATTTGTGTTTTTTTTTTAATCAATTGCTCTTTTAAATTTCTGAGATGAATTTCTGACCTTTTTGTTGTTGTTGTTTACAGAGCTTCCTTAAAATAGCTATTTTTAATTCTTGGTCAGGCCATTCATATGTCTCCATCTTATTAAGGTCAATCACTGGCAACTTTTGTCCGTTTGGTGATGTTATTTCCCTGATTGTTTTTGATTCTGGTCTGCATCAATTAAGTAGGGACTTATCCCAGCCTTGTACTCTGGCATTTTTTGGGAATGTCCTTCAATAGCAATCCCTAAACCTATGATGACGGCAGCTGTGGTAGTTATGGCCATAAGCCCTGGATTGCATGACTGGTGCAGAATGGGCTGATATCCTGTGACTTCTGAGGCTGGCTCAACACTAGATTGGAATCCTATGATTGCTGAAGCTAATTCAGCACTGGGGGATACCAGAAACCTACTGTTGCTGAGATAAACCTGCAACTGAGATCTGTACTGAACTTAAGGCTTTTTCAGTAACTTGGTGCTGGTGGGCTAGAACACAAGAGTTACCATCTGATACCAGTAATATAAAAGTGTTCTTCCTACCCTCTTCAATGTGTCTATAGGCTCAGTCTGGGTATCAGCATAGAGGTCAAGGGCTGTCAAAGTCTGCCTGGTGATGGGTTTTACTATTGGAGGCCCAATACTGAAGTCCAAGCAAAGTCCTATGATTCCGACTTCTTCTTTCCCCAAGCAGATGGTATTTCTATCCATGCTGTGCTGCTGCCTACAACTGGGGGAGGGGTGACATAAGTAATATAAAAGCGTTCTTCCTACCTTCTTCAGTGTGTCTTTTCTTATTATTATGCTATAACCAGATACTGAGATCTCTTACCAGATTTCTTTAGCTTTTGTGAAGGTAATTTCATGCATGAATAGTCATTCAAATTGATGGTTCTTCAGAGGGGTGATGACTGGAGAGTCCTCTTCCACCATCTTGCCCCATCCCGCTCTGGGAACTAGACCCTAGATGCTAATCTATCAGGATGGGTTGTGAAACTACACAGGAATCATAAATTTGGATTCTTACATTGCACAAGCCTGGAGTTTTGATTCTCATAGGTTCCTCCCTGCATCCCTCCAGTATGATTAGGCCAGGTGTGAGGCATGAGTGGAGCTTTTTCAGTTCCCTTTTCACATACTGACCAGCCCTTTTCAGGATATTGTCTCAAAATTTTGGGTATTTTGTCTGCATAGCCCCAACATAGTCCTGTAGACTGCCTTGGGAGTCAGCTGGATCTCTCTCTCTCTCTCTCTCTCTCTCTCACTCTCTCTCTCACACACACACACACACACACACACACCAGGGATTGAATCTAGGAGTACTTAAACACTTGAGCCACATCCCCAGCCCTTCTTTCTGTGTTTTATTTAGAGATGGGGTCTCACTGAGTTACTTAGGGTCTTGCTAAGTTGCTGAGCCTGGCTTGGAACTCACTATCCTCCTGCCTCAATGTCCAGAGTCACTGGGATTACAGACTTGTACCACTGTGTAGTTTTGAATTTCTTTCTTTCTGGCACTTGGGAATTTCCTTCTCCCTTCCTTCTTTTTGAAAAAGGCTGGGGGTATAGCTCTGTGGTAGAGTGTATGCCTAGCATTGTGAGATCCTGGGTTTGATCTCTAGTACTGAGAAAAAAAAAAAAAAAAAAGCAGGAGCAGGATTTGAGGTTGAATTATATTATTCTCTTTTTGAAAATATTTATTTTTTAAATGGGTGATAGATACGTGGTTGTGAGCTAAAATTGGAAAGATAAAAACAGGTGTATGTGTCTTCTTTTGCCTTGTTCTTATACCAGTCCCATCCCATCGCCTTTCCCTAGAGATTGACCATACACTAATTTATTCCAAAAGGCAGTTTTAAACTTTATAAAGTAGTGATTATAGTTTAATTTCATAACCAATATTCAGGATTTTCCCCCATATTTTTAACAAGTGGTTATTGTGTTTTCTTCTGCTCTGAGAGCATGTAAGTTAAAACTTTATATTTCATTTTTATGTTTTTATGTATGTTAGTGGATTATCTGTGTTTTAATCTTTGTTCACTTTAGAAACTCCTCAAAAATGTGAATTTGACAAAAAAAAGCATAAATTAATGATTAGATTGTTTTATGTGAAATTTTAAAATAGTAGAACTTTAACCCTAATTTTTGGGAGGTAGTAGAAATGATATTTTAAGATATTGGATCTTATTTAAACACAATGCAGATATCCTTAAAAATTGTCCCAATTACTAACCAGTCCATGCTGTTGATTGCAAAGGTACAAATAATTGCTCAAAGTCAGAAGTCTGTCAAAGATAAAGGTCTCTGCTGGGTGGGATGGCAGCTTGGCAGCTAAGTCAGGAGGATTCTAAGTTCAAAGCCAGCCCCAACAATTTAGCTGGGCCCTAAGCAACTCAGTGAGACCCTCTTTCTAAATAAAAAAGGGGCAAGGAATGTGGCTTAGTGTTTAAGCACCCCTGGATTCAATACCTGGTACTGAAAAAAAAGATCTCTTTTGGGTTCCCTAGTCACAGTTTATATCACTGATTGCCTAACTACAGCTTGGTGAAATTTAGTAAAAATTTGGGCTAGAAATTGAAGTCTTTTTGACATAATATGTTTTCTTCCTTAGATCAACCTCTCCACTTCTCCTACACCTGCACAGTTAATAAGCCGTTCCCAGGCTTCCAGTTCTACCAGCGGCAGTATTACCCAACAGACTATGTTATTAGGGAGTACCTCCCCTACTCTAACGGCGAGCCAAGCTCAAATGTATCTTCGAGCTCAAATGGTAAGATACGAGCTACCAAAGTCCTTCAGTGTTCAAGGACTTAGAGACCAAATGTTTCTTGATTTGATGCAATGAGGAATTTTTAATATTTAAGATAGTGCCTAACAATTTTGTATATATGATCAGTTTCTTATACATTCATGAAAGTTACAAAAATTCTAATTTGAATTAATAATACTTCTTGGTAATAGATAATATTGTTAACTTTGGGAAGCTAACAGATTCTATGACATAAGAATGGTATTTTTTAATAATAAGTTTACCAATTTCAAAAACTTTTTTCACATTTTAACATCTCTGAAATTGCATTTTATCTTACACTTAATAATTACTACTTACAATGGTACATAAATTATTATATATTTTTGACATGTTAGATTTGGTGAAATAGTTAGAAGTGTTAAAAGCCTCATTATTAGCCATAAGAAAGAGGTTATATCCTGGGACTGTCTGATATCATATTGGAGTGCCTATAATTTACCAGATGATTCTTAGCTTTGGTTATTCCCATCTCAGATTCTGTGTGGTTGTATTATTAGGCTTACTTTGATTTTTTTTTTTTAAATTAACACAGGAATGTGAATTTGGTATTCTGTGATTGGGTACATACTGTTTTTTTCTAATTTAATTGTTGAGCTTCTTTAAGGGATGTAGAAATGGTTGACATATATTTTATTTGATGTCTTTACAGGAAGCTAGACAAAAGCTTTGGCCCTAATGTACTTTTTTGTGTATTTCTGGATCCCCAGTTCACCACCTAAAATTGGAAAGGAAGTTTGCAGTCACATTTCTAACAGTAAATAATGATATGACTAACCTGTTAATCACAGATTATTCTAAGTATTACCATATTTCTGTGTCCCCTCATAATATCTTCTTTAGGTAATAATGTTACTTTAAAATAGGGCAGAACCATTTTAAATGGTTGCTATTTGGCCATTTTTGACCTCTAAAATTGATAGTTCGTATGGCTCAGAATAAATGGAATATCTTCTCTTTGGGTTAGTGTTTCCAGGATGTTTGTTTCATAAATTAAATAAAATATCTTTATGTGAAAGTTATACTTTGTTGTTAAATTCACTTAAGTTTAGTGAAAGACTAAAGAAGTTTCAAAAGATCCCATAATTGGTTGTTTAATTTAAATAGCAGTAAGGAACTGAATAGTCCTTAAAATAATCTTGAAATAATATATTTATACATTCTTTGAAGCAACTGTCATAAGTTACTAAATTGAGTTGGATAATGTGAGTGAATTGTATTGCCTTAGAAATTAATGACATTTGTTTAACGTTAAAATTTTGAAAGGGATGGTGATGAGTGAATGAATTGAGTATGATTTCCTTTTTTTTCTTCTTTTGATGTGAAGCTCTTTTGTTCTATTTTAACATATTGTGGCATTTACATTTAGAATATTTCTTTACAAATAGTTTTTAAATCAAAAGAAACCTAGGTTTGTCCTTTAGATCTTCTCTAGCTGAGAGAAATGTTATAGTCTAGCGTGTGGCATAATTATGCTTGTGGTAAAGAGGACTGAAGAAACTTTTTAGTGTTTCTTTTCATGTTTTTCACTGAAATTTAATTTGTGTCCCAAAATAGTAATTATAGTTGTCTGCTTTAATTTCCCATTTTAGAGATCCTGAGATTGTAGTTTGAACTGGGAGAAAAATTAAGTATGACAGCTTATTTGGGACAAAATTTGGTCTGAGAATTTCACATTACCAAAATATATTTTCTTCTTTGAACACTGATTTATTTTTGTACTCATTGAATCATGAGCTCTTTCAAAACTGTTTGATTTTTTTTTTGAGTTCTCTATTATCAGAAACTTCCCTTTGTCATGTAAAATGTTTTGCTTAGGAGATATTCCTAAACTGCATTGTCTTTATGTCATAAATTTCAGTCTCTCTTGCCTGCTATACATTGTGTGTGGGACATGTTCTTTTGTCTTAGAGTATTTTTTTGGTTTTCTGTCTGTACAGCTGATTTTCACACCCGCTACCACTGTGGCTGCTGTACAGTCTGACATTCCTGTTGTCTCGTCGTCATCGTCATCTTCCTGTCAGTCTGCAGCTACTCAGGTGAGCTTGTCTAGCTTCATAATGTGGTACTTGAGGTCTGGATTTTTAGGTTAAAGATAAGCATTGCATTTGTAGTTCAACTACTGATGGTTTCAGAGCTCTTTGTCATGCATTTCAGATTGAAATTTTATAAGATAGAATAAGAATTCCAAGAATTTTTTTTTTGTTTTGTAGAAATTATAATACAATTAAACAGATATTTAGGTTGTCTGACATTCATTTATGAGAGTTATGCTAATGACATTTTTAGATTTATTGTAGATTTTTCTTATTATATGCGACTTTATTTTTTGCAGATTCATCTTCAGGTAACTGTGAAATAAATCAGGGTGAATGATGGATTTTAGATTTAAAAATCAATTAAATTGGGCAAATTTTAAATTTAAAAAAGTAGAATATTCCTTTATTTGATGCCATGGGAAAATAAACCTACCTTTCTCCTTACACCACTCATAAAAGTAAGCTAGAAGAAGCATGCAGACTTAAAGATAAAAGGAAAAACTGTTAAACATCTAGAAGAAATCAGGAGAATATCTACAAATCCAGGGTAGGCAAGGCCTTTTTAGATAGGATACACAAAAACACTAATCATAAAAGAAAATAATGATAAGTCCTTTTGTACTCATAGAATCATGAGCATTACTTTATTAGAATTAAAAATGATTCCTTAAAAGACTTCCTTAAAAAAGTGAAGAGGCAAGCCACAGATGGAGGGAAAATATTCATAATACATGCATCTGACAAAAGACTTGTACCCAGAATATACAAAGTATGTTTATAACTTAATAATTAAGTTCTAAGGGCAGGAGAATCACAAGTTTGAGACCCACATTGGCAATGTAGCAGGACTGTGTCTGAAAATATAGGGCTAGGGAATGTAGCTCAGTGGTACAATGCCCCTGGGTTTAATCCTCAGTGCCAAAAAAAAAAAAAAAAAAAAAAATCAAACAAAAACAAATGGCAAAGGATTTGGAGACATTTCACAAAAGACAAGTAAGCACCTGAAAAAATTCTCAGCATCATAATAATTATAGAAATTTAAATCAAAACCATTGTGAGTATTACCATACACTTAATAGAATGGCCACATGTTGGTGAGAATGTGGAGCAATCAGACTCATCCATTGCTGGTGAAAATGTAAAATTAAAAAGTACAACCATTTTGAGAAAAAAAAATCGGTAGCTCCTTATATAGTTAAATATACATTTAACATATGACCTAGCAGCTCTCCTCCTAGATGTTTTCCATGAAAGATATGAAAACATACATCTACATAAAGACATAAACTTTTAATGTTCTTGATAGCTCAATTCAGAATAACTTCAAACTGAAAATACCAATGTCCTTCAAAAACTGAATGGGTAAACAAATTGTTGTATATTCATACAGTGGAACACTACTCAAAAAGAAGAAAGGAATGAACTACTGATGCATCTCAGAAACATGTTTAGCAGAAGTCTAGGCAAAAAGAGTATATCCTCTGTGATTCCATTTGTATGAAAATCTAAAACAGGCAAAACTACCCATAATAAGGGAAATCAGATTAGTGAGTAGTATTTGGGGCAGAAGGTGGGGGAGATTGGGAAAGGGTATGAGTCAACTTTTACGATGATGGAAATGTTTTACATCTTGATCAGGGCAGTGGTTATATTGTGTGTATGTAACTCCTAGAACTGGTTCATTCATTTCATTGTACATAAATGACATCTCAATATATTTGGTAAAAATGATTTAGAGTGAATGAAGTTTAAATAATTGAGTAGAATATTACTTTGATACAATTTTGTTATTTTTCATAGTAAATGTTTTAGACTCCTTATGGCAGAAATGGATGTTTATCATAAGGATCTTAATCTTCTAGTAATAAAAAAAAATGAGATAGTTCTTTGGTATTTTCCATATTACCTCTATATATATTTATTTTTTTTTAATAATAAAGGCTAGTTTTCACATGAGTGTATGAAGGTGGTAGTCAGTTTAACTCAGGGTTGTTACAAGGAATAAATGTGACAACAATCAACAAGTACTTAGCATAGTACCTGCTATACAATATCATATAGTACCAATTACTATTTTGTTCTACATTGTCTGAAAATGAATATAAAGTTGGTTCTTGGATTTTAAGTAGCTAGTAGTAAAGAGAGAAACACAACCACTTAAAGGATTTACAGTTCTCAAGCTAAAAGAGACCAGTTGCTTGGGAAAACACAACTGTTTTTAACATGCTCTCTAGAACACAATTTGTTTATGAGTTCTCATGAAGAAAAAATCTTMGGAGTGTGTGTGTGAGAGTGTGCATGTGTGTGGTATAGCACTGAGGAATCAACCAGGGACCCTTTACTACTGAAGCATATCCCGAGCCCCCTTTTAAAGTTTTTTATTTTGAGACAAGTTCTCAAAGTTGCTGAGGCTGACCTTGAATTTGGAATTCTTCTGCCTTGGCCTTCTAAATTGATGGAATTATAGGTATGCACCACTGTACCAGGCTTTACAACATCTTTAATGTGAGTATAGTCAAATTAGTTTATTAAAGTATAATCCCAGGTATTCAGGATGCTAAGGCAGGAGGTTTGTGAATGCAAGGCCAGCCTAGACAGTATAGCAAGACCATGTATTAAACAAATAAGTAAATAAAAAAGTGGTCTTTGAGTCCAGTTTGATGTGGTCTGTGTGATGATCTGTCTTAATTCAAGAATGTGCTTTCAAGGAACTAGAGAACTGGATTGACCTTTAGGAATCTCTTGACAAATGTTTTTTTGTTTTTTTGTTTTTTTCTTTGCTGGGCTTTGAAAAGGGCAGTGAATAAGGCTAACAGTGGTAGGTGATGCTAAGGCTTTTTAACACTTTTTAACACTTTCCTCAAGTTCAGAACTGTTTTGGAAAATTTCTGCTCTACTCTGATTTAATTTTTTTTTTTGAATTGTAGATGGACAGAATGCCTTCATTTTATTTGTTTGTTTTTATGTGGTGCTAAGAATCAAACCTGTGCCTCACACGTATTAGGCAAGTGCTGTGCCACTGAGCTACAGCCCCAGCCCCTTACTCTGAGTTTTAAAATTATATTTGCAGTTTTTAAAAAAATTGTATTTGTAATTGATAAATATTTGAAGTTTTATTTTAATATTTTAAGCTACAAAAGTCAATATAGCATTTAATTTTTCCTCAGCATTAGATAGTTTTTGTAATATACTATTAAAAATGAGAAATTTGGGATATCTTACCCTTATTTATTATTTTAAGTGCTCCAGTCCTTCTATCATGCAAAAAGAAAAAATAATTTTAGAAAGATATTATAGGGCAAAAGATATATATATAGAGAGAGAGAGAGAGGGAGGAATAAGAAATTTCATTTACCAAGGGTATCTGGGGAATGAAAAGGTGACAGCCATTAAGATGTACCTTGTATAAAATTTGTCCACAATAGGTAGGCAGTGTATATTTGATGTAGTAATAGTTAAAGGTTTTTAAAATTTGGATTTTGGAAATTATAATACAGTCTTTCCCATCAGCATTAATCTCTGCTTAGAATTGTTAAATCTGAATCTTAGATAAGTACTATACAATTTGATATAGAAATTAATAAAATCCATTCATAGTATATATATACATACATATATATATATATATAATATCTGGTTTCTTTTTTATAAACATCTGTGTCCCAGTCTCTGCTCTGTGGCCATACAGATAAAAAATAGCTAGAATTTAAAAGCTAGAAACTCAGTTTTGTTGCCAGCACTGTGACATTGGCTCTTAATTTCTTAGTTACCTTGCAGTGATAGTATGCTATGATAATTTCTACAGCATTTGTTTGATTTGAATTAAATAACTGATGTGAGAGCATTTTGGCAGTGGAGACTCACTATCAAAATGTAAGGTGTGAAAATTAGCAAAAATACTTAATGCAAAATTAGACTCAAAATCAGAATGTTTCCCTCGTTTGATAATAGGAAAGGTTCAGGTAAAATGAAAATTGGATATAGAGTGCCCCAATATTCCTTGTCTTGGGATGGATTTTTTTCTCCCCCAAAACCAAGCTCTGTCAAGGAAATCTGAATATGTGGTCTATTAACAGCTAGATTATATGTTTTGGCAATATAGTTTACATGGTTGGGATTTATGTATAATTTTTTTTATACACACACACACACACACACACACCCAGACACATATATACAGCATTGTATATAAATATATACACATATATTTTCTTGCAGAATTCAGAAAAAAATGGGAAAATTAGAATGTACTCTAGAAATGGATGTGGTGCAGGTTTTAGGATTCATTGTGTCAAATCCTCATTTATTGTGAATATGCTTTTCACTTCAAGGAATGCTCTCAAGATTTTCAGATGATTATTTACCCTTTGGTTATCATTTTTGCATAGTCTGTTTTATAGATTATTTACAGCTAACATAGATTCTATATTGTCTGTCTTTACCTGGGAGATTTTAATGTGCCTCCATTAAGGCACATTAAAATCTCCCAGGTAAATCTCCTTGTTGAGGTTTTCGGGGTATATGTGCACAGATTTCATTGTTAGCCTGAGAACTGAGTATACTGAAAGAAAAATGCTATGTAAGATGTATATCAAAATCAGATATAGGAGAATACCTGAGATTTGTGAAGTTTCTGATATGTTTAAACACTGAAATGTAGGGAGTACAAAAAGGAATGTTGGGCTGGAGTTGTGGCTCAGCGGTAGAGTGCTCATCTAGCACCTGTGAGGCCCTGAGTTCGATCCTCAGCACCACATAAACATAAAATAAAGGTATTGTGTCCAACTACAACTAAAAAAAAAAAAAAAAAATTTTTTTTTAAATTTTAAAAAAAAGGAATGTTAGAGATGAGAGCCTATTAGCTATAGTCTCAGTATTTCACAGACACATACATTAATAATTCTAAAGTAAGCTAGACATTGTGCTGTAGGCCAATATGATCCCAATTCTATGGAAAAATCCTTTTAGAGGAAAGGGAAAAAATTGTTTTCCAACAAAGGGCTTTGGGGTTATTTCTCTAGGAGCATGAATGGGTTTTTATTAGGCTTGGAAGAATGGACTTCAGGAGATAACTTTGAGGTGGATTGGCATTTAGGCAAGAGGAGTTTGTGGGGGAATGAAGGAAGTGCTAGATATGTTTGGAATGGGGAACAGAACAGTTTGGCAAGAATGTGAGAATTGTGGGCTGGAGGAATAGAAAATGAGGCACAAAATGGTTTGGGCCTAGATTGTGAAGGGTTTGAGTAGCAGTCTGAGAAATACCTGCATTGGTGATTTTATTTTTGTATTAAACTTTAATAATACAGTGGTTATTAGTCCATTATGTTAACATTGATAACTAAATATTTGAGAAAAATCAGATGTTCCATGTAGTTTCACTTAGAAAATTCTTTCAGTAGCTTAGAATAGAATTGATTAAAACTTAGTCTTCCTAACATGAACATTGTTTCAGTACCTGCTGTTGACTGAACATTACATTGGAACTTGGACAGAAGAAATATAGCCTTTAAGCATCAATTGATGATGTATTTTAAGAAAAAGGGCACACATGAAACTGAAAAACAATTATTTATAAAGCAGCAGTATGTTATTTGCTTTGTCACTTTGCAATTTCTTTTACTTCAGTTTCCTTCTCAGGACCAGTGCTAGCACTAAATGTATTTGGTATATTTATTCCAGATAAGCAAGAAGTTAGGCAGCTTACTTTCTGCCTTGCTGTTTGGAAATGTTATAAATCTCAGGTGAGAGTAATTGGGATAATCCTTGCCTCCATCCACATATAGTATATGTAGAATAGCCCCAAGTAGGAGCTATCACACAAACCATGCACAATTTTTTCAGTTCCTGAGAACTAGTTCTCAGAGGCAATGAGTGTTCAATAACAGCAACAAAATTTAACTAAATTAAAAAAAAGAGTTTCTGAAAATGCTCTTAACAAATATCACAATGGGGTAGGTGATTTGATGAATTAATTTTCCTTCTTACAAGATTAGTATCCCCTTACAGTCTCTATAGTTAGAGCTGGTCACTTTTAATGTTGTATGTTGCAGAGTAGTTTCCTCATATTCATAGTCCATTTGAGATATAACCACCCACACACTCACAATCTGTTGTCATTTAGTCTTTCATGATTCTTCCTTCCTCTGCATTATTCAATCCCTCCCTTCCCTTTCTCTCCCCTTACCCCTGCCCCTTACATCTTTTTAAAAATTACCGCATGATATTTAAGATGTGATTACTTAGAATAATTCTCCTTTTCTTCAGGATTAACCACTTGTTTTAAGTACTTGGAATGTGTGACAAGTATAATATAATATAAATGTGTTGTCATTGTAATGATTACCACATCAAAGTCATCTGATTTCATCCTTATTTTCTGTTATGTGATTCTTAGGTTCAGAATTTAACATTACGCAGCCAGAAGTTGGGTGTGTTATCTAGCTCACAGAATGGTCCACCAAAAAGCACTAGTCAAACTCAGTCATTGACAATTTGCCATAACAAAACAACAGTGACCAGTTCTAAAATCAGCCAACGAGATCCTTCTCCAGAAAGTAATAAGAAAGGAGAAAGTCCAAGTCTGGAATCACGAAGCACAGCTGTCACCAGGACATCAAGTATTCACCAGTTAATAGCACCAGGTAGGATAAAACTTTTATTTTATACTTGCTTTGTTTATTTTCTTAGCAGACAGAGCAAAAACAAAGATGTCTACTACTTGAATAAGAATGACATTTTAAAATGTGAATTTCCTGAGTTAAAGAACATCTCTCTATGTAGCTTTTTAAAAGGAGAGATTTAGAAAGCCCAATAGCTAAAACAAATTATAGCAGTAAAATAGACATTCTTTGTTAATTGATGGTTGACTAATGTCTTTATTGTGTGCCGGTCTCTCCTTGTAGAAATAAAATCTTTTAGCTTTTAAAAGAGATTTGCCTACTGTGTTGCCTATAGTTTATTATATTTTAGTGGAACAAATTTAAAAGCTTCTAAAAAAGCAAATACGTTATTCTGTTTAAAGTCATCTATGGGAAGAATTTGTCACTTTCCAAAAATGAGGACTATGCAAATAAGGAAAGTTATTTTCCTTACTATGTTGTTGTTTTTTTTTTTTTTTCCCCTCTCTGATTTCATCTGGGAGAAAGATGTCAGGGAATCGGCTAAGTCACTTTCATTCATGACAAGCTTTGAAGCTCACCTGTGCTTCCTCTTCTTTCTACAGATAACCTTGCCTCATGGTTCTTACACTGAAAATGTTGGGGCCATCCCATCCAGTGTGAGCTTCCTATCTCTTACATTCATCTCAGTATTTTTTAGGATTGAGCTTCCTTCACTTCTAATAAGATAAAGTGTTATCTGCTTTCTTCTTAAGATCAACACCATTTGCTTATGAGCCCATCTTTTTTTTAACCTGTTCCTGACCTTGTTTAATAGTTACCGTAGCATGTTTTTTCTTCTCATGCTGATCCTTTGCTTCTCGAGCATGTTAGGTCTTCCCTATTCTTAACATATCTGCATATTTTCGACAGCAGTATAACTGTTATTTATTGTGGATGTGTGAAAAAGATGCACTAGGCTAGACACTTCATAAAAAAAAATCCTTTGTTCCAACAATCTCATTAAGCATCACCTTTCTGTTTCTGTTTCTGGTTTTATCTTTTTTTTTTTTTTTTCTTTTTTCCCTTCTTTGCAGTACTGGGTGCTCTATTGTTGAGCTATATCCTCAGTCCCTTTAAAAAACAATTACTTTTTTTTTTTTTTTCTATTTTGAGACAGGGTACTAAGTTGCCAGGGCCAGTCTTAAATTTAAGATACTCCTGCCTTAGTCTCCTGGGATTCCAGGAATGTGCCCCCACTAACTGCTTTACTTTTTAGAAAGTTTTTCTACACTATTGAAGTTTGCTTTTTTTCCTACTTACATCTATTTCTATTTTCATTTTTCCTCTATGTTAAATTTAACATCATTCACTACTTCACCAAATGTCAGAATTTTGGATTGGTCTGATTTCTCTGGTTAAAAATTTCTCCTCACTGAATACTTGTAACATTTTGTGCTCTTTTATGGTTCTTTTTTTCTTTTATAGTTATCTATATAATTATTGATCTTAGCTTCTCTACTAGATAATAAAGTCCTTAAGGGGAGATATAATATTGAGTGTTTCTGTATTACCTTTTTTTTTTTTTTTTTGATACTGGGGGTTGAACTCAGGGGAGCTTAACCACTGAGCAGCATCCCCAGCCATTTTTATTTTTTATTTTGAGACAGGGTTTTGCCGAGTTGCTGAGGGCCTCCTTAAGAGGCTGGCCTTGAACTTGCAATCCTCCTGCCACATCTCCTAAATTGCTGGGATTATAGGCATATACCATTGTACCTGGATGATTCCTGTATTTTTGATAGATTATGTTGAAAATTCTGATTTTTTTTTCCAGTTAGAGTACTCTCTTTAGAGAAATGTGGGATCTCTCTCTCTCTCTCTCTCTCTCTCTCTCTCTCTCTCACTCACTCACTCACTCTTTCTTTGTCTCTCAGTTGGGAATTCTTAGGTTTAGTTCAAGCAAGGAGGTTAACTTTTGGATTATTAGGTCCTCTTAACCAGTACCTGGTTGCAAGTTGCAACTTACTCTTCCCTCTTTGGTTGGTAGTTTGTTAATTATCTTTACTGTTACCAGGGCAATATTTTATGTAGGTAATAACCCAGACTGACAGAGTCTCAGGTCACTTTCAGTTCCAGATTCAGATCTTATTTACATTAACCAAATTCCATTTTTCCACTGTTGATTAGAAACAAAGTCACACCAGAACATCTTAAACCACATAAACCTTCCCAGGTACCAAACTTATAAGTTTGTTTAAGCCTCATGTTGCTATTACTCAAAGCAATTCATATATTCTGGCAAGGCAGCAGCTATATTTTATACTCTCCTAGTTTCTCTCCTCTTATTGATGGGAAGTTAATCTGAAACTAAGATATTTTGAGAGATTATAGAATTGGTAACTTGGACTTTTCCTCAACCAGAACTGTTGCGCCATTTTAAATATTAAAAAAACTACCTGTGTTCTAATGTAAACCACATTTAATAATAATTATATTGGACATGTTTATTGTTTCCTTTATATGTATTTTTAGAATGCTAAAATAATATTTTCTGAACCACTTCTCCTTGGGTGTAGAATTCCTGCTTGTTAGTAATTCTTTGTGTATGTGTATATATACTGGGGATTGAACCCAGGGGCATTAACACTGAGCTACATCCCCATTCCTTTTTATTTTGAGACTCTCTTGCTAAGTTGCTGAAACTGGCTTTGAACTTGTGATCATCCTATCTCAGCCTCCTGAGTCATTGGGATCACTGGCATGCACCACCTTGGCCTGGCAGTAATTCTATTTTTAATGCCTACGGTAAAGGCAAACTTAAACCAAATGTATCAAAATCATGAACTGTATTAGAGCTGAAAAATTTTAAAACAGTTTTTAGAGCTTTTATTAAATTAGTCTAATTAGAAAATACATCATTTTTTTTTTGCAGACATTAATTAAGTATACAATGAAAATATCTGCTGTAGCTGCTATAGTAAAATACCTCAAACTGGGTAGCTGGAAAGCCCAAGATTAAGGTCTGGCAATATACAGTTTATGGTGAGATGTCTTGGTTTGTAGATGACCTTTTTCTTGTTATGTGCATTTCCTCTGTATGCACAGTGGGGTAGAGGTAGCTCTCTGATGTCTCTTTAATGTAAACACACAAATCCTGTCACTTCAGGGCCCTACCCTTAAACCTCATTTAACTTTGATTAATCCTTAGATGCCAGGGAAGTTAGGGCTTCAACAAATGAATTTTGTGGGGTAGGGGAAACTGCCCATAACAAGTCCCTAGACTCAGGATTATGAGTTCTCTTAGACCCAGTGGTGTCCCTTGCCTGCATTTAATTACTCAGAGTTTGTTAATCTGTAATATGTTGGATTAGTATAGTGCCATGCCTACCTCATGGCATTGTAACTTAAGTGAAAAAATATATTATTATAAAGAACAGAGTTATTTGGGGCTGGGGCTATAGCTCAATGGTAGAGCACTTGCCTTGTAGGTGTGAGGCCCTGGGTTTGATCCTCAGCACCACAAATAAATAAATAAATAAATAGAGATATCGAGTCCATCTACAACTAAAAAAATATTTTAAAAAAATGTGTGTATGTGTGTGTGTGTGTGTAGGAAAGAGAAATGATGCCAATCATTAATCCTCCAAATAAAAATGATGCCAATCATTAGTCCTCCAAATATTAGGCCACCCTGATAATAATTGTTTAAAATCAGAGGAATTAAGCAACATGATATGTTTTTCTAGAGTACTAGGCTTTTCTTGTATGATGGGGACATTGTTTCAGATATCCTCACAATTGGGCTGGGGATGTAGCTCAGTGGTAGAGCACTTGCCTAGCATGCACTGAGGCCCTGGTTCCATCCCTAGCACCATTAAAAAAAATCACAGTTATAATATCAAAACATTTTTCTCATGTGGACTCATGAACTAATGCAAAATATATAAACTTAGTTTGACTTCTGATCCAAGAAAAATTTAATGTAGGTGAAAGGATAGGCTATTACTCTGTTGGATTATCATCTCTAGAATATAAACAGATCATTTACTTTCTAGCGTACAAAAATCAAGTATATGATAAATTTAGGCTGGGTGCGGTGGCACATGCCTGTAATTCTAGTGTTTTGGGTGGCTGAGGGAAAATCACAAGTTCAAAGCCAGCCTCAGCAACTTAGTGCCCTAAGCAGCTTTGTGAGACCCTGTTTGAAAGTTTAAAAAAAATAAAATAATAAAAGATCTGCGGGTGTAGCTCAGTGGTAAAGCACCCCTGGATTCAGTTGCTAGTAACAGCAACAACAACAAAAGAAAATGGTAAATATAATTTATATTTTAATATAATTTATACTTTAAAATTAAATTAAAGTTTATTTCCTTATGTATAGGAAGGGGATAATAATTTCCACCTACTCCACAGGTATTTTATAAATATAGATGAGACATGTGAAAACATCTTGCCTTGGAGGAAAACACTATATGAAAATCTGAGATTTTGTTAATCCACCTTCTTTGAATACTGTATAACATAGTCTATATGCACACATTTATAAAGAGCTGACAGTCTTTGTTTGAAGTACCAGTCTACTTACTATGTGAAAATTATTTTGTTAGATGAAATTTTAAACTTAATTTCCATGTGTGTGTATTTTGCAGTGCTGGGGATTAAACCTAGGGCATGCTAAGTATRTGTATGCTCTACCACTGAGCTACACCCTCAGTCCCTCATTCTTTAAATTTAATTACTAGGTATCTACTGAATCTTCTAAACACTCTTTATTGAGATGTTAATTAGATGTTAATTTCTTTAATGGATCCTTAATATTTTAAATAATAACCAAATGTGAAAGTATTTAAGAAAAAAGGTGCTGGAAGTTTTTATAAGACTTTTGTTACACATGTTGTTAAATGTAAAAGTAGATACAAGGGGCTGGGGTTGTGGCTCAGTGGCAGAGCACTTGCCTAATACATGCGAGGCCCCGGGTTCCATCCTCAACACCACATAAAAATAAATAAAATAAAGGTGTTGTGTCCAACTACAACTAAAAAGTAAATATTTTTTAAAAAGCATTTAAAAAAAAAATAAATACGGGGCTGGGGCTGAGCAGTAGCGCACTTGCCTGGCATGTGTGAGGCATTGGATTTGATTCTCAGCACCACATATGAATAAATAAAATAAAGGTCTATCAACAACTAAAAAAAATATTAAAAAAAAGTAAATGCAAGTCTTCAGACATGTAATAGAACTTTTATCATTTTCTGAAATTTAAGAAAAAAATATGCCCTATCTTTAGATCTATTTTAAATGTGTATAATTCTATATTAATATTAAACAATCATTGCAGTTTATCTTATAACAAACCCAGTTTCCATTTTTGCTTACATAGGGAGGATTTTGCTACTCTATGTAAATATGTGCACCAGCATGCAGAAGAGGCGTAATGATGGGGCAACTCTTCATAGCTCAATTATGATATCCTATATATTTTTATCCCTGTTGGGTTTCTTCAGTGAAGAAGATCTGATACCATCTCTTATGAATTACCATGGGTTTTTGTGGTGGGGGGAGCATTAAAGAAGATCCTTTAGACAGCATGGACTTCTGATTGCCTCATTTTCTGCAAGCAAAACTAGTGTTCTCCTAGTTTTGGAATGGCCTCTAAGTTTCACTTATTATAATGGTTATTTAACTATGCTGTAAGACTTACACATATTTTGCTTAATTGAATTACATTTTTATACAAAACATTTTCCTGGAAAAATAAACAGAATATTTGATCTCAAATTTTGAAACTTATTTAGGTAACTTTGTAATCTTGCCTATGTTTAGACATAGGATAAGATATTTATTTTATTAATTTTAATATACAGTTTTATGACTTAAAGTTACCTTTCTATGTACTATACTTGTTCATCTATGATACTCTCAAACAGAAATTCAGGTGCATAAATTTTGCTAAAAGTTAATGTGGCTATTCTGATGACCGATAAATAGATTATTTTAGGCAGTTTTCTATTGGAACTTTTCATAGTACAGCTATTTTATCACATTTTTATAGTCTTGGGGCTGGGATTGTAACTCAGTGGTAGAATGCTTGCCACTGGGTTCAATCCTCAACACCATAAATGAATGAATGAATGAATGAATGAATGAATGAATGAATGAATGAATGAATGAATCATGTCCATCTATAAATAAAAATATTTAAAAAACTTAGTCTTTCAAGGAAAAACTGTTTCTTACAAAACTTCAAATTACCCTTATCTTAAAGACTTGCTATAGAATTCTAAATAATTATGTCCTTCATGATGTGAAAAGTTTCTACCTTTATATTTATTTAAATTTTTCCGACATTTTTTGAAATCAGTACTAATTGTTATTTTTTTTTCTCACAGCTTCATATTCTCCAATTCAGCCTCATTCTCTAATAAAACATCAACAGATTCCTCTTCATTCACCACCTCCCAAGGTTTCCCATCATCAGCTGATATTACAACAACAGCAGCAGATTCAACCAATCACACTTCAGAATCCAACTCAAGATCCACCCCCATCCCAGCACTGTATACCACTCCCAAACCATGGCCTTCCTCCAGCTCCCAGTAATGCCCAGTCACAGCATTGTTCACCAATTCAAAGCCATCCCCCTCCTCTAACCGCGTCTCCCAACCAGTCACAGTCAGCACAGCAGTCTGTGGTAGTGTCTCCTCCACCACCTCATTCACCAAGTCAGTCTCCTACTATAATTATTCATCCACAAGCACTTATTCAACCACACCCTCTTGTGTCATCAGCTCTTCAGCCAGGGACAAATTTGCAGCAGTCTACTGCTAATCAGGTACAACCCACAGCACAGTTGAATCTTCCATCCCATCTTCCACTCCCAGCTTCTCCAGTTGTACACATTGGCCCAGTTCAGCAATCTGCCTTGGTGTCCCCAGGTCAGCAGATTGTGTCTCCAGCATCACACCAGCAATATTCAACCCTACAATCCTCTCCAATCCCAATTGCAACCCCTCCACAGATGTCAGCATCTCCTCCAGCTCAGATTCCACCACTGCCCTTGCAGTCTATGCAGTCTTTACAAGTGCAGCCTGAAATTCTATCCCAGGGCCAGGTTTTGGTGCAGAATGCTTTGGTGTCAGAAGAGGAGCTTCCAGCTGCAGAAGCTTTGGTCCAGTTGCCATTTCAGACTCTTCCTCCTCCACAGACTGTTGCGGTAAACCTACAAGTACAACCACCAGCACCTGTTGATCCACCAGTGGTAAGCCCTTGGAAGCTCTTTGACTTTCTTGCTGAACTAAAAGTAAAAAACTTTTTTCTCCCACACTGTTATATTGCTAAACCTAAATGCCTATGAATTTTAAAAGCTTGGTATTTCCGTATGTCAGTATTCTGACAAACATGCTATATGGGAAAAAAAAAGCCATTATTTATTGTAGTATGGTTGCATGCTTGATAATCTGTGATGGTTATTTAAGTCCCTCGTTAATTTTATTACTATTTAAACAAATCCATCTGCTATCTTTACAGAGTTGATTTTTTTTCCCCAAGGGAATGCATTTGAACCAGTGTCATCTGCACAAAGTTTTTTCTCTTAAGGTGATTATCCTTCATAGATCCCTTCTGTTGGCTTGTGTGTTCTTGTGGTTTATCTAGCTACCCTTTTTGGTTGTATGCATTCAGAAGTCCTGGGCCTTGAGAGGCTTTGGTTTCAAGGTGGAGRAGGTATGCTTGTATGATGTAATTTTTTGGTAAAATTGTATTATGTAATTAAAATTTTATAAATAATTATTCTAGGAAAGAGCCCAAGTTTGCAAAAAACATAACTGATATTTTATTTCTACTGAGGGAAAGTATACACTTAAAATATTTCTAACTTAAAAAGCTAAAAAATCTCAGTAAAAATTGCAACGCTGGGAATGGAAGAAAATCTACTGGAAGGAGTAAAAATTTTGAGTAATTGAGATTGTAGTGAAATTTATTAGAATAAACTCCTAAAAATGGTTACATGTTGTTTAGAAAGGAAAATTATCTTGAAAAACATTTAAAAATAGCATCTAAGGGATTTATAAAATAATTTACAATAAATTTGGAATAAGAACTCTAAAATATTTAGTCAGAATAATCCAATTTATATTTTTTACATTTTATATTTTATATTTTATAAATCCAATTTGTATTTTTTTCTTTTCCTTTTAGTACTAAGAGTTGAACTCAGGGCTTCTTGCATACTAGATACATTCCCAGTGCTTTCACTTTTATTATGATACAGGGTCTTGCTAAGTTGTCAGGCTGGCCTTGAATTTGTGATTCTTCTTCCTTAGCCTCTTGAGTAGCTGGGATTTCAGGTTTGAGCAACCATGCCCCACTCATAATTAATACTGAGAAGAAGAATTTTCCTAAAAGGAGGTTTTTGCATTATACCTCACTGAAAAGATTTTATTACTGAAAAGCTAATTGGCTTAGAATGGAAAGGAGTTTCAGAGTCTCCATAATGGGAAACATTTGGGATCTCAGAATGCAAATTTATAGATATTTTATTCTTATCATTCTGAGTGATCTTAATAAGCATAGATTGAATTCCACTTGCTGTTACTCTTTTTAACAGACCTTCACAGAAACAACAGTACTAGAAATGTTTGTCATTTATAATTATTATGTCTCTATATTTTCTTTTAATGATTTCTTAAGAGTTTACAGTGGGTACTGTCACAAAAACTGTTATAAGAACTATATGGTATCTTCAGAGAAATCAAATTTAATTTAAATTTTATTTTCTATCAGGTTCAGTTGTTTGGCTCTTAACAAGTAAAAAATAAAACACCTGCATATTCCTTATATTTTCTAATTGTTTTTATTAAGGGAAAAATATCTGGGTAGAAATATAAAAAATATAACACTTGAAAAACTAATTAAATTAAAACTGAAAATATTTAAGGTTGCATTTTGTTGATTCTTGCCTACCTCCCTGTTAAAGATTTTTTTTTAAAGTTTCTTATTTCACTTTTGGAAGAGTTTTTTCCTGTGAAATACATAATTTTCTCTGTATCACGGATATAGTCATTATGCTTAGCTGTAGATGTTTTCCATTTATCTTTCCTCATCTTTTAACTTTCTTTGAGTAACACAGCTCTGTTTGTTAAATTACCATATTTTCTTCTATAATCCTTGTATTATTTTTCCATCAAAACACATTTATTTACAAATTACAGTGTCTTGGTGCTTCCAAATATTTAAGGTAGAGAGATATACTTATTTCTTTAGAGATGAAGTTTTGAAAGATAAGAGTGAATTATCAAAGTGAAATCAGTATGTTTTTTGAAAGATATTTATAAAAGCATTAAAGTTTTTAATTGACATTTGGGTATAAATGAGATATGTTGAGGGTAGATAATTTAGAACTAATAAACAAATGTTCCTCAGTTTATTTAGGAAAGGGAGACAGATGGGAATAATGGACTTTATTGAGGTAAGTTTGGCAGTCTTTGTTATTTTTAGAATAGTTATAGTTACCAGTTAAGCAGAAAATGTGATGTGTAGTTTCCTAATGATCTTTTGAGCAAAACCTCCACTTTGCTATTTTCAATATTTTAGTTATTGCATTTAGATTTCTTTGTGCTGATCATGCCAGATGTCTGTGACAGATTCGTTTTTGCCTACTTCCTTAAACTTTTTAACTTACTTTGCCTTTACATGGGAAATTGGAAGAAAAGTATGTATAGTTAGCCTTAACTATAGAGAATGAAAAGTATTTTACAGTATTCTTTGATGGATTATTTTTTAATGCTGTTTGTGTTATGACTTCATCCTTTAAAACAACTTTCATTATTTTAAAAAAATCAGCTCAGTGTATGATAAGCTTTGATTCCTTAAAAGGTACTATAGCAAATAAATGTTTGAGTAACATGCCGACAGCATTAAGATTAAAGTGATAGTTTCAGCTTTTCTTTGGAAGAAAAGTAGTATCTACTCAAGAAAATGCTATCCACATAAAATTGAACTGGTTAATAAAAAACATATTTGTCTAATTATGCAGGATTAATTCCCCAACCACTCAGACACATTAATGGGGTACCAGAAAAGTTTCTTTCTTTTTTTTTTTTTTTTTTTTGGTTAACCCCGAAATGTCTTTCTGGTTGATTTTTCCCTATATTGGACATTAACATCATTTTTAAAATTACTATTATCAAGAACAGATACTAGCATTGTTATACTGTACAATAATAAATGATTGCTTTCTTCTGAGACCATACATGAGGCAAGGAGTCTATTTTGGTGAAGCAGTTTTCCAGATGTAGGGTTATAAGTGAATTATTTTAATAACATTATCTACTTAGAGGCTGGTTGAGATCATTCAGAATATTGCACTTGATATAAAGTTATCAGTAACAACAGAATTTTTTATTTTTATATATTGTTTTTGCCATACCTGTTATCCAACCCAGGGCCTTGTACATAATAGGCAAGTACTCTAACCATGTGCTACACCCTGGCCTAGCCAGTAATGTAATTTTTAAGTTTTAAAAAAGACTAAAAATGTCTGGGGTTGTGGCTCAGTGGCAGAGCGCTTGCCTAGCATGTGTGAGGCACTGGGTTCGATCCTCAGCACCACATATAAATAAATAAAATAAAATAAAACAAATACAGGTCCATCAACATCTAAAAAATATTTTTAAAAAAGGACAAAAATTTGGGGGCGTTATAATCATTTAAAAAACTTTTTTTTTTTTTTTTTTAGTAGAGGCTGGGGCATATTTTTATTTTTATTTGTAACTCTTTCTTGTTGTTATGTGTACCTATGAAGTTTCATCTATAAACACAACTTACGCTGGATTCAGAAATCTTGATCACTTTAATTTTATATAGTTATCAAAATGTTTATTATTAAAAATGTTAGATGTCACAGTTATTTTGTGAATATTGTTGATGTTTACTGGAATATTAATCAGTTTCATTAAACAATTCTAAAAAACTCATAATCCTTTATAAATTTAGGTAAAAGCCTAGCACATTTATAAGGAGGGAAGAGAACTGTTTTGTAGCTTTGTTTTTAGTATCTTTATCATCTTTCATAAATAAATGGTTAAATAAATAACAAATGATGACCAATTAAAATACTTATATTTATAATGTCTCTAGAAATGCACTTTGAAAATTAAGCCTTCAGTTTAATAAGTTAGTTATTTCTATTTATAATGCTTTTTCTGAGAGATCTTTTGATTCCATGTTCTCTTTTAAGTATAATCTTTACAGTTAAATAACAGGGTAGTTAAAGATTTAAAACCTTTCCCCCATATATATGGAATAATATTAACAAACTAAAATATACATCCAAATGGCTTAGTGTGTGTGTGTGTGTGTGTGTGTGTGTGTGTGCATGTGTGCATGTGAGGGTTTTAAAGAAAGTTATATTCTGCATTCATGATTAGCTTGCGAATTCATTAATTCTTGAGTAGACAGAAAAGGAAAGATAAATTGCATTTTTTTAAGCTTTTGGACATTGCTTTTCATAGTTTAATCTTTAGTTCACAACATCATGATAAAAAGAACCTGGGATATAGTTTTAATGACAGTATATCCTAATTTCCTATTATGTTATATATAATTTCCTATTATGTTATTTTGGAAATTTGCTTAGTGTGCTTTTGAAAATTCCTGTTATCTACTTGGACTTTGACAAGTAGAAATTAATAGACACAGTAGTAGTATTCTTGAGATTGATATTTGATTATAGTGAAATCAAAACTTTTTTAAATTCTCAAAATTAAGAATATGCTGAGCTTTGACTATTATTATTTTGGAAAATTTCTGGCCTAGATAACTGATACACAGCTGGCTTTCAGTGAAATATTAATCAAGTATTATGAAAAACTTCATTTGAGTGATTATAAGGTTTTCCTTTCAACTTGTCAGAATAGTCATTTTTACTGTTTTAAAGTTTAATACACTTAGAATTTAATTTTTTAAAATTAAGAATACCTCATTAAATGTATTTTTGGAAACATTTTAAGGCAGTGTGGTTTATCATTGCAGGTTTATCAAGTAGAAGATGTGTGTGAAGAAGAAATGCCAGAAGAGTCAGATGAATGTGTCCGGATGGATAGAACCCCACCACCACCCACGTTGTCTCCAGCAGCTATAACTGTGGGAAGAGGAGAAGATCTGACTTCTGAACATCCTTTGTTAGGTAAGAAAATGTCAGCATATAGGGGAATTTTTCTATTTGATTAACATGAGTAATGAGAAGTATTTTTTTCAACTAGAGATGGTATTAATCTAATTTGTTGCTGTGGTTAACTATAGCAAAAGGTAGATTAGAAGTCAAGATTTCAAAAGATTTTATTTTCCTTCTTGGAAAACTATTTAATAGCAGGGAAACTTTGCAGTTTATATAGTTTTCAATACCACTCAAATGAAAAACATGCCTTTGCAAATCTTCTAATTTTCGGTCGCTTACGCTTATACAGATGTGTTTCATATGCTTATTCAGATTCTTGAATTATTTTCATCTTAAAAGTTAGAATAAATAAAAATTCTCTCAAAAGACTTAAATCACACTTTCTAAAAATCATAAAGCACTCTAAATCATACCTGATATTCACTTATTTGTGATCAAGAAGACCAAGTACTTTTAGTTTCTTTAATATTATAGTACTTTTAAAGAAGTAAGTTTTTAAAAATTCTTGCATTTAAGTAAATTCTTATTCATTAATTCATTACTACTTATGAATTCAAGTACATCTCCTGAACATCCTTCCTCACAATATCAAAGTTCTTGTGAACCTTAGGTATCTTATTGAAATATTAGTTTAGCTTACAACTCAGAGTCTCATCCTAAAACAGATAAGTTCCATGTTGTTGTTTTTTTTTTTAAATTTATGAATATTCTATCTGGATTGGGGGTTGGCAAACTAGTTCACTTTCAGATATCTTCTGCTGCCTATTTTTGCATGGCTGAAGGTAAGGAGGGTTTTTAAATTTTTGAATAGTTGAAAAAATCAAAATAATCATTGTTCATGTCATGTGAAAATTATTTGAAATTCAAACTTTATTGAACATAAAGTTCTGTGAAGCATAGCCATGCTTATTTGTTCAAATATTATCTATGGCTGCTTTTGTGCTACTATCCACAAAGATGAGTAGTTGCAAAGACCAAGTGGCCCTTCACTGAAAACCTGCTGACCTATGAGCTAAAATATATCAATATTGGTTTTGGCTTTTGTATAAGTATCCTATTCTGTTGAATATCTCCTGGCCCTCATGATTGTTTTCAATTAAGAAAAACTACTGTAATAGGCATGGAAGCCAAATGTAATGGGACATTGACCCTGTTTTACACCAAAGGAACTCTTGTCCTCCTCTCTTCTTTATCATGCTACATCCTCTTTCCTTCCTTTCTCTCAAGCTTTTATTTCCTAACTACTAATGTGGATCTCTATAAAGTTAAAAGGTGAAAATTAGTTTTGTTGTAACTTTTTCCCCTTCTGAATATTGAAAACATATAGTCAATAAAATTATATAAAGTAAGATGGATTAACATTATTTCCTTTTATTTTCAAAGTAATACCTCAAAGATAGATTTAAGTTTGTAATATCAAATATATGTGTTTTTTTTTACATTGAAAATGCATTTTGATGCTAACAGTTTTTCTGGACTTTTGATTTAAAAAGGAAAAATATAAGTTTAATTGAGTATTAAACATGCATTGTGACTGTGATTTAGTTACAAAATAAGCATCACTAATAGTACTAAAACCAAATTTAAACATTTTTTGCAATGTTGAAACAATATGTTTGCATCTTTTCCTTAGGAATATATTCTGAGATCCTGTGGATGCATATTCCTCTGGCTAAGTTGTCAACTACAATATAGTTATTTATCTTCCTTTAATTTCTTTCATACTTTTCACTCTTTTATTGTACATGGGCGGTAGGTGGTGTCATATGCCTATAATCCCATTAACTCAGGAGACTGAGATTACAGGTTGATTACAGGTTGATTTTTAGAAACTCCCATCAACTAACTTGTGAAAATAGACTTGTTTCATCTAGGATTCAGTTTAAGTAAAAGTATGCAAAAAGCTAGGAAAAGTTTTTAGCTTTTGAGTAGGAAATGAGGTGCTGAATAGACACTAAAATCTATAAAATGGCAAAGTTATATAAGTTAAGATTTTCTATAATACTTGCCTTAAATCTAAAAGGTTTCATAATTGTGTTTCTGTTCTATGGTAATATGTCACAATGTTTCTCATGATTTGGTTTTATTTTTGTTTTGATGGTATTAGGAATTGAACCCAAGGGTGCTCTACCACTGAGCTATATCCCCAGCCCTTTTTATTTTTCATTTTGAGACAGGGTCTTGCCAAGTTACTGAAGGCCTGAATTGCTAAGGTTGACCTCAAATTTATGATCTTCTTTCCTCAGTCTCCTGAGTTAATGGGATTATAGGCATATGACACCACATTCAGCTGTTTTCAGTTTAACAGTTTTTTATAAACTGGCAATTAATAGGCTTCATCAAAAAGTCAGTAACTTACAGCTCTATTGCTTTCTTTCAATATTTCTTTATTTTTCTTTCTTTTTTTTTTTTTTAACTGAGGTTCAAATCCAAGGGTGCTTTACCCCTGAGCCCCAGCCTTTCTTTTTTTAATTTTTAATTTTGAGACAGGGTCTGGAGGCTGGCCTGGAACTTATGATCACCTGCCACAGCCTCCTGAGTCTCTGGAATTACAGATGTGAGCCACTATGCCTGGCTTACAGCTCTATTTTTAACAAAATTTAGGACTAAGATTTAAACATATATCTAAAAACTAATTAGAATATACACCAAACAGTATTTTCTTTCTTTGTGTTTTTGATGTGGTACCGGGGGTTGAACTCAGGGGCACTCAACCACTGAGCCACATTCCCAGTCCTATTTTATATTTTATTTAGAGACAGGTTCTCACTGAGTTGCTTAGCTCCTCGCTTTTGCTGAGGCTGGCTTTGAACTTGCGATACTCCTGCCTCAGCCTCCTGAGCTGCTGGGATTACTGGTGTGCGCCACCATGCCTGGCCCAACCAGTATTTTCTGAACAAACCAAATTATACTTAATTATGTTTAATGCAGTATGTCTTAATCCATTTTTTGTTGCAAAATATAACAGAATACCACAAACTTGATCATTTATATTGAGCAAAAATTTATTTGGCTCCTGATTCTGGAATCTGGAAAGTTTAAGATCAAGGGGCTGCATCTAATGAGGACCTTCTTGCTGTGTCATAACAGGGTAGAAGGTATCACATGGGTAAGAGTATGCATGCAAAGGGGATGTCAAACTCATTTTTATCCATTCTGGTGATAAGAAACCCACTCCTAAGGTAACAACATTAATCAAATCTTGAGGGCTTTGCCTTCAGGATCTAATCACCTTTTAAAGGTCGCACCTCTTGTCAGTGTTACATTGAGGATTAAATTTCCAATACATGAACTTTGGGATTCAGACTATAGCATGCCACTTTGTATTTCTAAAGTAAGGAAGTATCATAAACCTATAAAGGATATTAAAATTTTATTTTGTTTCAGTTCACCTATAGATTAATTTTATCTTTCCAACAGAAAACAGAGTTCCCTTTCAGAATTTTTATGTTTTTTATTCTTTGTTTCATAGAAATATATGTGAAGATTTGATATATGGGATAGGAGTTTTGTGGAATATTTTTGATAATACATATGTACAACTATATATGTGTTACTAGAATTAGCATTTTTTATTGAGTTTTTAAAGATTGTGTGACCTTAGGCTTTCTAGTATAGTTTACCTTTGTAAATTTGGTGGAAGTAAGTTAATTTATGATGTAACAGTGCCATTAAAAACTACATAGTGATATTTATCATGTTGGTGATATTTATGGTGAATTGTTAGTGTTTCTATTGCTTGTTTCATTCATATTAATTAATTAATTAATTATTAATGGTGCTGGGGATTCAACCCAGGACCTTGCATGTGGTAGGCAAGTGCTTTACTGTTAAACTAATCCCCAGCCTGAATTTCCATATCTGAGATGATATGCATAGGATTACTACCCTATTTTATTAGTTTATTTTAAATTTTTTTGTGGCACTAGGGATCAAACCCAGGACCTGTGCTTGCTAGGCAAGTGTTCTATTGCTGAGATCCTTAACCCTACTACATATTTTTTATTTTTGGTACCATGGATTGAACCCAGGGCCGCTTAACCACTGAGCCACATCTTCAACCCCTGCTACATATTCTATTAGCCGAGTTTTCTATTCTTTGGGGATTCCTATTCTTTCTTCTACTGTACCTAACTGGGTTATATTTTGAATACCTTGATAGTTGGTATCAGTTCTTTTCATACTAATGGTGGAGAAGAATTAACAAAGCTGTCAAGAGCATGATATCTAGGACCAAACTGCCTGGCTCAGTATCCAAGCTCCATTGCTTATTTGCTATGTGCCATTAAGGCAGGTAATTTAAGATGAAGATGATAATAGTATCTACCCATAGGCTAGCTGTAAAGATCAAATGAGTTAGAATATGTAAGGCATTGAACATAGTGCCTGGCATATGAATTGCTCAGAAGATATTATTATTTTCTTCAGACATCTATATTCACTGATATTCTTAAATAGGTTCCATCTTTCCACTTTAGTATAGGCAGTAAAGGGCTGGTGCTACCAAATGGGCATAAAGTACCCATCATAGCTGTCAGGACCATCTTACTGTGGTCCTCAGAATTTGAAGAGAAAGAATCATAGTGATCCAGTCCAACATTTTGCATTTGACTAGTGCTGCAGTGTCCCAAAATTGACTAATACAGTGCACATATATAGTGCCATTGAAGAGGGAGGTATCTTATTGCTTAGGTTACGAGTGATGGCCTGTGTGATATTTTGTGGATTTCATGATCCTTTTTTATTTTCAAATTATTTATCTGCCTTTCTACACATACCACCAGGAATATAGAAGTAGGAACATAGGGAATTTAATACCTGTGTACTTTAAAAAACAAACAAAAACCACCACCCATTTTTGTAATTACTCTTTGAGTTGATATTCTAAAACATTTCCTGACTTACAGGGCATTTTTTTTTAAGCCATGTTTGGATGATAATTTTGAACAAGTTGCCCTCTTTTATAAAATGGAGATAAAAGTATTTCTACTTTATGATCACTGTGCAGATTAAATGAGACAGTAAATACTAAGTTCTTAGAACAGTTTTTGCAAATAACATATTGAATATTATCATTAACAGTGTTTATTCTTGGGCTGGGGATGTGGCTCAAGCGGTAGCGCGCTCGCCTGTCATGCGTGCGGCCCGGGTTCGATCCTCAGCACCACATACAAACAAAGATGTTGTGTCCACCGAAAACTGAAAAATAAATATTAAAARTTAAAAAAAACAGTGTTTATTCTTGAATGCTTTTTAAAGACTTGCATGGACAAAATGCTATAAAATAATTTTTTTTTTTTTTTCCAGAGGAAGTGGAATTACCTGCAGTGGCATCAGTCAGTGCTTCAGTAATTAAATCACCATCAGATCCTTCACACGTTTCTATTCCTCCACCTCCACTCTTACTTCCAGCTGCTACCACAAGGAGTAATAGTACATCTATGCCCAGTAGCATTCCAAACACAGAAAATAAGCCTCCACAGGCTATTGTTAAACCACAGATCTTGACTCATGTTATTGAAGGCTTTGTGATTCAAGAAGGATTAGAGCCATTTCCTGTAAGTAGCAAGCTTATTTGTGGGTTTTTAAAAAATTATTATTATTCACATAACATTATTTTTTTTAAATTGTCTATTCTTCTATAAGAAAAAGCTTGTAATTTTATTTCAAAAAAAGTTGACTTTATCTGGAATTTAACATTCTACACACTTTACATATGTAACTTCCAAATATATTTCTACAAATTTTATGCTAGCTATTTAGATGTATAAAGTAAGGAAAAAATGAAAAAAATTCAGAGTATAGAGGCATTACATCTGAAATTTTTAGAGACAGATAGTTGGAAGTTTACTTCAACAAAATAAACCTTTTCATTTTTTCTTTTTGACGGAATTGAAACAACACTTAGTACATTATTTTAAGAATGGTATTTTCTTTATGTGATTTTTTTGTGAGTTTTAACTTAGATACAGAAAGTATTAACTTCTCAGTGCCCTAACACTTGAAGTTTACCAATTTATCATTTATAATTACCAGATAGTTTTCTTCCTAAATTTCAGCCTTTGACCAGATTTTTTAATGCTTTAATATGTTCACCTCATAATGGAGGTATTCTATCACTATGAGTTTTACAATTTGAGATTAGCTATAGCTGTATGTAATTTATATGATAATATCTAGAGATGAAAATTTTTCCTTAGAAAATAAATCAAGGACAAGTAGACATGTAAAAACATAAACTACTTCTCTTGAAGATCTTGGAATCATCTATTTTCAGATTCATGGGTGAATTTTGTTTTTTCAGTTGTAGTTGGACACAATACCTTTATTTTATTTATTTACTTTTATGTGGTGCTGAGGATCGAACCCAGCGCCTTGCACGTGCTAGGCAAGCCCTCTACCATTGAGCTACAACCCTAGCTCCGAAAATCTGGTATTTTGATAGTTGCTTTTGTGGTGTTTTCTGCATGTGTATATGTGTGTTAACTTGGATTTATTAATATGTTGGTATTGTAGATGGAGGAAGTCTTTTCTCCCTACTTAAACAAAACCATATGTGTAATTAAAATGTTTGTTTGGATCCTGGTTGTGCTGCATACTAACCGATTTTGTAAAGTTATTCAACCTTTCTGGTCTTCATTTTGCTTGTCTGGGAGATGGAGATGTTTCTTTACTCTTAGGGTTGTTGTGAGAATTAAACGTGCAAACATTATTCTGTGTAGTGACTGACACATAATAGCCATAACAATTATTCTTTATTATCACTAATGATAATTAGAACTTTTGTTTTTCAGATTGCACAAACGATATACATGTTCTAAATGAGAATTTGGGAAATGTATAAGACATATAATCCCAAGTAATACCACAGTGTGTGTATGTTTATATAATCAGAATTGTCATTATTACCTGTATAATCCTACTTTCACATCATAAATTTTGTGCATTTATCATTCCATATCTTTTTTTAAAAGAGATTTTTTTAAACTTTTTTTTTTTTTTTTTTGATACTGGGGATTGAACCTAGGATTACTTTACCAGTAAAGCAACATTCCCAGCCCTTTTTATTATTACTTTGAGACAGAGACTCACTAAATTGCTGAGGCTGACCTCAAACTTGCCATCTTCCTGCCTCAGCCTCCAGAGTCGCTGGAATTACAGGTGTGTCCCACCATGCTGGGCTCCCTTACCATATCATTAATAACACTTTGGAAAAATTTTGTAAGGTTTCATAATCCACTTTATTGACAACCATAATTTATGTAATCCTCCCATCATTGTTGTATTATTTTAACGTTTTCACTGTTGAAATAGTTCTGTGAGGCTGGAGGGATAGGTTGTGTACATGCTCTAGCATGTATGAAGCCCCCCACCACCAGAGAAGAAATTCTGAAAGAATTCCTTTTATATAAACCTTTGTCCTCCTTTCAGTATTTTTTAAACCTAAATTCATAGAAGTAAGATTATTTTATCATATTACATATAGCCAAATGACCTGATATATATTGTAAAATTATTTTTATGGAAAGATTAAGTTTATTCGTCTGTCAAAAGTATATGGCTTTGGCAGCACTGAATATTAGTTTCCCCCCTTCAGGAATAACTTCTATAAATTTTTTTGAGGCATATTCAATATCTTAATGAAAGAAACAAAATTTTAAAAATCTGTTTCATTTAAAATGCTGATAATACTCTAAAGTTAATTTTAGAAATTTTCATTAAGCTGTGATTTCCCTATGTGTAGCTGATACAAAAGATTTAACCAGCAGTCTTGAGAAGAAAGATATTCTAATCATCCTCTTTCTTTCTTTCTTTTTCTTTTTCTTTTTTTTTTTTTTTTTTTGGTACCGGGAGTTGAACTTGGATGCTCAACTACTGAACTACATCCCGAGCCCTATTTTGTATTTTATTTACAGACAAGGTCTCACTGAGTTGCTTATTAGTGTCTTGTTGTTGCTGAGGCTGACTCTGAATTCTTGATCCTCTTGCCTCAGCCTCCTGAGCTGCTGGGATTACAGGCATGTGCCACCTCACCTGGTATCTAATCATCATTTTTAGCTGAAGGCTTACCTGGAGAATCAGTAAATGTGTGTGTGTGTGTGTGTGTGTTTAATTTCTCCTGAAAATAGTTCTGAGTATTCAAATGAGTATTCATGATAATCAGGTAACTAAACATTGTGAATATGTTGTTGATGTTAATGTTAACAATGTTTGAGGACTTTCCTTTTGTGATTTTAGTAGGTTAGGTTGCTGACCTACTAGAAGTTAGGAGACTTGAGTTCTAGACCTGATTTTGCTTTTATAAAGCAATAAATTTAGTCCTTTTATAGAGTTTCCTTATCTGGGGCTGGGGTTGTGGCTCAGTAATAAAGTGCTTGTTTACCACTGTGAGGCACTGGGTTCGAGCCTCAGCGCCACATAAAAATAAATAAAATAAAGGCATGCTGTCCATTTAAAACTAAAAAAAAATATTTTAAAAACATTATAAAATATACACAATGTGGGCTGGAGGTTATAGTTCAATGGTAGAGTGCCTGCCTAAGCATGTGGGAGGCCCTTGCTTTGCCCCACTACTTAAAAAATGTATTGTTCATCTTTTATTTGTGTTGCATTCAGATGGAAAACACTAAAGTTTCTGAAGGAAAAAGATTAGTCACCACATAGAACTTGAGAGAGAATTGTTTAATTGAGTAATGTTTTTTAAAGTTAACAAAAGAGCTGGGGGTATAGCATGGTGATGGAGCTCTTGCCTAGCAACCTCAAGGCCCTGGAGTTCAGTCTCTAGCACCACAAAACAAAAACATCAAAGGAAACCCATCCAACTCCTAAATGTACTGATGGTTATAGCCTTGCTTGGTGTTGGGCAGAACTACTGAAATATTCATAGTGTAGGATAACCTGCACTATGTTTGTATTAATTCTGGAATTACTAAATCAATTACTTGCCTAAACTAAGACAGTAGTTTCCATTTCACAAAGACTTTGAAGCCTTTGCTCTCCTGGTAACTAAAAATAAGATGTTTGTGTTGAGACTTCACTCTCCTATAATCCCAGTGGCTCTGGAGGTGGAGGCAAGAGGATTGAAAGTTCAAAGCCATCCTCAGCAAAAGTAAGCACTAAGCAACTCAGTGAGACTCTGTTTCTAAATAAAATACAAAATAGGGCTGGGGATATGGCCCAGTGGTCAAGTGCCCCTGAGTTCAATCCCCAGTACCCCCCCACACACACACACACACAAAAAGAGACTCCTTAATCCTTAGTTAAAAAATGAAGCACTAAATTAATGGAGCCGATCACTGAACAAGTAAATTTTCACAAGCATTGTTCATTTCAAGAGATATTTTAATCAAATTATTTCTAGATATCTTTCAGAGATTATTTCATTTTATTCTCTTTCCTTTTTAAAGGTGAGCCGTTCATCTTTGCTAATAGAACAACCTGTGAAAAAAAGGCCTCTTTTGGATAATCAGGTGATAAATTCTGTTTGTGTTCAGCCAGAGATACAGAATAATACAAAGCATGCAGACAATTCTTCAGACACAGAGATGGAAGACATGATTGCTGAAGGTATGTGGATTCACTTAAAATACCCTTTAACTTGTACTGTTTGAAACAGGACATGGATTTTTACTCTTCACAGATTTTACTTAAAAATTTGCATTTTTATTCTCATGCAGTACATTATTTGACTACAATAATGAGAAAGCTAACCAGACTTGTAGTGACCAAATAATTAAAATAGCAAAATTGGTGTTAATTTGTACAATGTGTTTGACATTTGGGAAAAGTTTCATCATGTATAAGAGAAAATAATTGTAAGTTTTGCATCAAAGCAACAAATTCTTCTTTTTCTTTTCTTTCTTTTTTTTTTTAAAGGAAACTTAAGTAATAAATACCATTTTACTGAATTTGCTTAAAAATTTAGAGCTTCTGGGTTGTTTGGCTTTAGACTTTCCATATTTTGATGGGTGAAACCAGGTTGTATTGAAATTATATGATGGATATACTCTTCAGTCAATAGGTGATTACATTTGTTCAGAGATAAAAATATCACTAAACCTCCTTACTGTCAAAGAATCTTCTAAAATAGACTTTATTTCAATAATGAATAGTCCATAGAAGTCAAACTGGTATTCAGAATGACTGAAGGAAAACACAAATAAACACAAAGTTTTTTTTTTTTTTTTTTTAAATGAGATTCTGAAGGTCTACTTTTGTTAGACTATTATCCTTAAGCCATATATCTCTTTGGTATCTCCCCCTCTCACCAGCAAAAACAGTTTCTTGTTCTTCACAAGGTATTCTAACCTGTTATCAGGTATTATATATTGTTTTGTTAATGTTAAAATAACAACTTTGAAGCAAAGGTTTGGCTGTAGCCTGATCTTGGAACAACTGAAGAAATGGACTCTTTAGGGTTGTATCAGTAGTGTAGTGGTTAAGTGAGAGGTTCTATCTCTGTTATAGGCTTTTCAAAGTTCGATCAGGTGATAAGCATAACAAATATAATATATTTGGGAGTTCTGATATTATGTCCCAGGAATGTGTTGGTAAGATGTTCTGACTAGGTCACAACTGTGTCAAAATCATCCCTAAGTCATTGGAAGGAATGATTTTTTTTTTCAATTGTGTTGAGACCGTTTCTTCCTTATTGCAAATAAATTGATGACTTCTGCTTTTGAAGTCTAAAAGTCTAAAGACTTTTAGAATTTCCTTAAAATAGCCCCTTAGGGGCTGGGGTTGTAGCTTGGTGTTAAGAGTGCTTGCCTAGCATGCAGGGTTTGATCCAGAAAGGAAGGCAGGAGGGAGAGAAGAAAGGAAGGATGGACAGATGGACCACTTTTTAGTTCATGATTTTAATAGTCAGATAATATATTTGGAGTCCCATAGTGTCAAATATTATTTCAGAGTATGTTTTTCTCACTGCCTTAAACTGGGATAATGTGAATGGCTGAGCTTACAGAGTACATGCCCTTCATATTTACATTTTTAGAGTCCCTGACTTCATCTTAATAAGTCTTTATTAGAGTAATATAGAAAGAGTACATATGAGCTCATAGCTAAATGATTTAGAGTGCTTTTTAACTGCATATTTTATATGACTTAGCATAGGAATTATGATGCAAGAAAATGGTAACATATGGTAGATTTACAAATTTAACAGGTTTCACTAAAGTGTTTCTTGAGCACTTATACATCTTATTACTTTTAGTTCTTATGTGAAAAATAGGAAATGGAACTGTCACATTTTTCATGCCTACTGTCTTTTGGGCACTCATTTGTTACATAAGTTCTTTGGGAAAGGTATTGTAAGCTTCATTTTACAAAGAGAAAACTGGGTCATGAAGATTAAATTGTTTGCTTATAGTGACTGCTTCTGAGTATTTGAGGATTTAGTTTGGAAGCTTCTGTAGGTTCTGGCTTATGGTCTAAAGAAGAAAATGTAGGGGTAGAAGGAGAACATTCTACTTTAATGGGAAGCATGATGAAAAAAATTATCAGCTGTTGAGAATTATGAAACAATTTGTGATTTTTTTAAGGCTTAATCTGTTATTTTTTATTAAATACAATATAACTAATAGGAACTGTTTTACAATTAGATATATTTATCTTTTTATGTTCTATCATATATTCTAGCAGCTCTTTTAGAGTTATTTTTATATTCTCTTTTAATATCAGACATCAAAATTGCACAATTATGAAGTTATCCTCATACTTTCAGCTAGAATTAAGGCTTCCCTGCTATATATCTCCGCAGCACAATTTTTTAAAATTCACATCTCACACAGTTTTTTGAAAGTGTTCTTTGTGGAGGATAGTGATTATGTCTTATTCATCTTTGTTTCTCATAGTGTTTATAAAGTTTTCATATTTTAGACATGCTGGATCTTAGCAAAATGAACCTTTAAAAATGTTATACTCAGGCTGGAGATATAGCTCAGTTGGTAGAGTGTTTGCCTCGAATACACAAGGCCCTGGGTTCCATCCCCAGCACCACAGGAAAAAAAAAAAAAAAGGAAAAATGTTATACTCATTTATATAGAGAAAAAGTCCATATGATTTTTATGTTGAAGAAGGAGGTGGTTGTTTTTGAAGGCTTTGGCTCTGCCAGAGGGACTATGAATTAAAAAGCAATGGACTATTGGTCTAGTAGAAGTATTTAACCCATATAGAGCTAAAAAAAATATATGCTACAATTAACTTTTTGGAACTTTTCCCCTTTGTTACCTTTATTTTATTTTTTATTTTTTAGACACATTAGAAGAAATGGACAGTGAGTTGCTCAAGTGTGAATTCTGTGGGAAAATGGGATATGCTAATGAATTTTTACGGTCAAAACGATTCTGCACTATGTCATGTGCCAAAAGGTATTTCTGTATTCTTGAATTCCCTAAAGGACAAGACAATAACCGCTGCCAAAAAAAAAAAAAAAAAAGCCTCTTGTATAATTTAACAATAGAAAATGTAGATACTGTAATTCAGAGGAATAATTTGACATTATATGGAGCTACATTGGTATAATGTTACTAGATTACTATGTTAGTAGATTATGCACTGTGAAAATTACCTATTCATAACACTTAGAATCAGTTTTACAGTGTAATATAATGTTGAAGTATACCGAAATGGTTTTTAATCATCCACTTGTTTTACCAGTACTGAAATATTTGGATTTAATTTATTTTAAAGTGCTTTCATTTGTTTGAATCATATTCTATACATATTTTAGGTTTGTTATTGAATAACAACAGATAAGTTCTCCACATTGTTAACATCTGACAGAAAAATATCTTTTCTAAATTAATGTTTTCAATGGTAATTATTAGACAAAGAGTATTACTAGCAAAAAAAAAAAGTTATTTCTTCATTAAGCTTGTAACTCCTAAGTGTAGTATTATCAGTACCCACTCTGATATTTACCACTAAAGTTGATTTTATGCACAGGTTGGTTATTTTGAAATTCTGTTCAAAAAAGTAGTTCTCTTAAATTCCCTCAAAGAATTTAAGATCTTAATTTATATACACCAGTGAATTTCTTTCTTGAATATTTTATTTTGTATTGGTGCCACCAAAGTATACATAGTAAAACTCTTATTACTTGTTTCCTCCAAAAATGGATTATTTCACTTGTCAGTCTATTATTCAGTCTTTCATATTGATAGTTCTGTAATAAAATTATATTGAACTCATGTTTTAACTTAATTTCTTAATTTGCACATTCCACAACATGCAAAGTTTTTTAGAAATTTGTTTCTACGATAATTTTGTTTTATTCTTTCTAGGAGTGAGTTGGCAAACTCACCCAGGACAAGTTCTTCCTGCTGCTTATATATTTCATGACATGTGAAAATTACATGAAATTCAAATTTCAGTGTTTAAATTGAAAAGTTTTATTGGAACACAGCCATGCTCATTTATCAGTTTCTGTGGCTGCTTTCACACTACAGTGACAGGGATGAATAGCTGTCATGGCCCTTTATAAGAAAAGTTTATCAGTCTTTGTTCTAGGGCTCTGAGATCTACTAGATGGTATAAGACTCTTGAAGACAGCATCATGCCTTATAAAGATCTGTGTTCAAAAATATTAGGCAGTCTGTGGATATAAAAGAAAAATAAACCAATTTTAAAGAATCAAGATGTCCTTCCAAATTTCCTGAATAATGAGCACAGTGCATTTGTTGTAACTTTGAAATTCCAACTTTATATATTTTTACTTTGATTTTTATAATATTTTAAGAAATTTACTAACTGCTTGAGATCCTCCCTCTACTACATCAATATCTTTTTTATTAATCTCTCTTCAGAAATTATTACTTGGGAAAATACCAGTTTGAATAGATTCTAAATATTTACTATAATTTTTTTTCTGGAACTTTGAATGTTTTTGTTGCTATAAAAATTAGTTGTATTTTACAGAAAGGTTCTCACTATCATGCTGTAATCAGTATCTTTTAATAGGTATCCAATGTTATATTGAGATGTATTATAAATACACAAATCCATTGACTAATTTGGGCTTTATTTTATGAGGTATTATGTTCCTTAGTGAAGAAAAGGCACTTCCTGATTCATAATTACACTTTAAAGTCATAATTAAACACTAAATGGAGTGTCTCATGTCATCATTTAATATTTTTTTCTCATTTGAATTTCCTAGGTACAATGTTAGCTGTTCTAAAAAATTTGCACTTAGTCGTTGGAATCGTAAACCTGATAATCAAAGCCTTGGGCATCGTGGTCGTCGTCCAAGTGGCCCTGATGGGGCAGCAAGAGAACATATCCTTAGGCAGGTCTGTAGAAACCTTGCTTTAATATACTATACCCTTTTCAGAAGTAACAAAGAAAATGCAAAATACAATGCTGTATTTTACTTGTACTACATTTTCCAGCTTCCAATTACTTATCCATCTGCAGAAGAAGACTTGGCTTCTCATGAAGATTCTGTACCATCTGCTATGACAACTCGTTTGCGCAGGCAGAGTGAGCGGGAGAGAGAACGTGAGCTTCGAGAAGTAAGAATTAGGAAAATGCCCGAGAACAGTGACTTGTTACCAGTTACACAGACAGAGCCCTCTATATGGACAGTTGATGATGTCTGGGCCTTCATCCATTCTTTACCTGGTATGTAATTCACCATTTTGACTTTAATGTTTTTCTTGTGTATTGACACTCAGGAATGATGTTAGATCCATCCATATTTTTGCACAAAAGGGCTAGAGAAGTCTGCGTGTATGTATAAATTAAATGGCATTTGCTATTGAAGTTTGATCTGTTTCCTCTTGCTTATTCCCTCAGCACAACTGGGTATTTTTTTCATACCCCCAAGTTGATAAAAACTGACTAGTCCTGCTTCTGTGACACCCCAGCTGGTGAAGATATTAAGGTGCTCTCTTCTCTTCAGTATTAAGGTGCTCTCTTCTCTTCAGTCTGATTTCTCTCGAGAGGTCAGTAGAGAGATTGAATCAGACACTTCTTCCCTTCTACTCTATTTTTCTATTCTATTTCTTCTTATTTCCTATTTTAACCTTTATAAAAATGAAATGAGACTAGTATTTTTTAAACATTTTTGAAAGCTAATAGAGATATATAAAATGATAAAATTTTGGTTTCTTTTTAAAAAATCAAGCTGGTTCTTTTAAAGGAAGCAGTGTTCTTTAATTCCTTTCAATAAACAAACTTCAACAGTTGAATATTTAAAAAAATTTACTAACTGCTTGAGATCCTCCCTCTACTACAATATGATTCTAATATTGAAGATAATCTTCTTATTTATGTTTTCCTGTTCTCTCAGTTTGATATTCTTTCCATCAACTTAAGTCTCCTTTTTTCTTTAAAGCAACAATGATCATATCCACTCTCTCCAAGGGGTGGGCAACTAGAGACATCAGTTGCTCATGATGAGACCTGTACTGTTTATATATGTTAAGATGATATATTTATTTTAAATCAGCAAATCTTACTCACTTTGACTTTATGAATATGGTAAATGAGATTTTAAAATGTTTCCTTTTGGTTTTGTGAATCATATTATTTTTCTTGATTCAAGATTTCTAGGATAATATGTCTCATTAGAATTATCTACMAGACTCCTATAAACAAATTATTTAGCTATTATTGCTGACTTTCTGTAAAGGTGACCAAAGTCTCAGAAGAATACTTATAGCTAATGTGGTATGCAAGAAAATATATTTAGAAATAATAATTTTAAAAGCTGCTTCCCATTTTAACTTACATACAGAACTCTCTGGCGTTTTATTAAATATAGCTTTTATAAAACTTTAATAAAATGTTAAAATATGGCCATTTTAATAGAAAGATGGAATTGTTTAAAGCAGGTATACTTTTTTCATGTGAAAATTTTAAGCATATGCCTAAGATAACTAAGGTCTGAGTTAATTGCCCACCATGTGGGTTTATAACCTGCTTTAAACTCAATATACTAGAGGATAGTGAATCTTCATTGGTTGTGGTTTTAGTATTTAATAAAACAAATTTTACTCTTGGGACCAGTATAGTTGTCTTAGGAATTAACACTGGAATCTGTACTAATCATCTGGGGTTGTACTTTGATTCTATCATCTTCAGTAGTCCTCATCTTCCAAGTGGAGCATGTGATCTATTTGTGAGTCTCCTTTCTCATTTGGGAGAAATACTCCTTTCCTTTTGGAGAGGAGAGTTGGTATACATCCTCAGGAAATTAATTGCCCAAATAATTAACAAATAATAGCTATTGCTGATTCTTTTATCACTTAATGTGGTTTTTTGGGCTAATTTTCCCAGGATCCATTTGCTCTATTGCTACTATTGGCTGCTTTATTAGAACATAGGCCAATTTTTTGTGTCCCATTCGTGCTTCATTTGAGGTTAAAAAAAAGAAATTCAACTTATTATTGCTAAACTTGGGGTGCTTGTCAATGAGTTCATCTAGGCACTTAATTTTGTTCTGAGTTCTTTAGAGAATATTATCCTTAAAAGGAGACTGCCTTATAATTTATAATTACTTGGTGCTGTTTTAGAGTCTACTTAGTATAACTCTTTCCCTTTACTGATAAAATGTGAGTATTTCTTGACTGCTTCCACAGGCCAGATAAGCAGCTTATTTTTGTGATCAATTACCCCACCTTTCTTAAATTTTGTCTCCGAATAATGCCTGTAGCTTAAGGTAAATCTTATACCAGGACATACCTGTATCCTCTAGGCTTTGTGAATTTCCTTTTGAGTCTCTTTTACTTTATTCAGGACTGTTTATTTTCTTGGAGTAGTGTCTTCCCAAGCTTTTCTCATGGTATGAACATGYTCATCAATTTTGTAATCTCTTGTATTGTTTCTTTCCAGGGTAAACTTCCTTCCCCTTCTAATCAGGGCACCTCTATTTTACTGCTAAGGTTTTTTTTGTATATCATCTTGTTAACCATTCTGTTGGGACTGTTTGTGCTTACATGTAGTACACACATCTCTCAGAACTGTCACCACAGTTAAAAACTGTCTTATAACTTCTCATACATAAAAAGTTCTCTATAAGAACAATTCTTATTTTCAAAAAATTATGTGGGTTATCTTCTTTAACTCTTCCTTGTGTGGTGAATTACCTTTTGCAAATATTATTCTGTATTATGTGGATCAACAAGATTTCTCAACAAGCATGTAAAATAGGGAATTATTTCTTCAAAGTATGAATATTTAACTGGTATTTTGTTAAACTAGTTTTGAGAGTTGTTTATTCTGAATTGAGTGATAAGTGATCTTTTTACTAATCTTACTAATCAGTTTTTATGTAGGGCATTTTTAAAAATTTTGGGTTTAAATGGGGAAGTGATTCTGTTCATTTGTAGGGATCATTTGAGACCTAGTGCAAACGTCTCTGTCCATACTGAGAACTACACTGTACTTGGTTCCTCTGAGGTAAAAGCAGCTGAGCCGACTGGTTGCTTCAGTTGGTGTATATTTATTGCACATCACTGAGTTCCAACCATTTTACAGAAGTATAAACTAATGTTGGAAGCTCACAGAACTTCAGTTCACTGTATCTTGAGCACTTGGTTTTTTAAATGTTTTTCTATACTGAGTTTTTAGAAGTGTATTTACTTCTGTTTCCCTGTTCCCCTGTTTTAAAAGGCACTTCATTTTCTCATATTTATACTAATGTAACTATATTTTTTGGAGGTTGGCGTAAGTTAGTTATGATCCAAGTTTCTCAAAATAAACTTTCCTGTCTAACGATGCTGTTTTCCAAATCACTTTTTGTTCTTTATTATTTTACCAATACTTTTACTGTCCACCTATGAAAAGACATCTGATCTGCAGAGGAATCTCTCAATGCAGAGGAATAAGAAAGAGCGTGCTATATATTTTCCTTATGGAGAACTCATTTCTATTCCCAAATATAGCTCTTATGGTCCTCATTACTTCTCATTGCTCCTGTTTTCTGAATCTAAGTTCTATCCTATCTTTCTCTTTCCTTTCCTGTGTTCTTGTAAGTAAGACTGAAGAGAGAAGAACACTAGTTCTTTCATAAAAAGAAGGATGAAGTCACAACTAGATGCAAGATTAGTCAGTTTTGTCTGCCCAGTTTTGTTGAGAGCTACCTCTGGGAAAAGAAAAGGGGCTTTTCTATGGTGAGTAATCTTTCATCTCTATAGTTTCTTTTAAATGATACATGGGCAAAACCATAAACATTCTGTAGAGGGTACCAAAATGCTGACTTTAAAAAATCTGAGAAATTATTAAAATAGAGAAATTGAAGGGCTGGATGCCATATAGGAAATAGTAAAGATAAAAACAGGACACAGGAAAAGAAACAACTAAGAGAAAAGGTGGCCTCACAGCTGAACACAAAAAAAGTGATTTACTCTTACAGATAATTCTTCTGTAGTAGAGTATATTTTTGTTAATTGTTTACCTTTTATTCACTTATCCAGTTCTTCACTCATTCATAAATATATGTATCTTGCACCTATAATGCTTTGCGTTTGGTGCTGATGTTATTAAGGTAGGAGACATACAAATGAAGGGATGATATATTTGCAATAGAAGACAAATATTATTCTAGCAAAATTGTGATGGCCAAGGTGTAATGTAATCATTTCTATTCTTCATTATCTTTTAGTTTTTTTTTTAGTCATACACGACAGAATGTATTTTGATATATAATACATACATGGAATGTACATACATCTTTTAGTTTTTGTATTTTCTCTTTGAATGCTGATTGAGTAAAATAAAAACACTTTAAAGTTAAGTTTTTAGTTCATTTTCATTCTTTCTTCTTGGCTTCATCATTCATTTCCTAAACTATTGGTTTCTTTACCTCTAATAGGGAAGTTACTGAGTAACTTGGATGTGCAAAAATTTTGGTATATAACAAAAACATTTGAGGCTCAAGTGGACACTAGTATTGTTACCTGCTAAAGCATCTGATTTAAGCTGAGTTAAAATATTCGTTATTTGTCAGAAGACTGGCATGGAAGTTCATAATTTCAATGAGAATGTGTTTCTTAGGATTCAAGGTTGAAATTATAATTTTTTATACCTTTATTTTTTTATGTGGTGCTGAGGCTCAAACCCAGTGCCTTGCATGTGCTAGGCAAGTACTCTTCCCCAGCCCTGAAATTATAATTTAAAAAAAAAGTAGCATATTTCAGCAATATTGCAATACATTGATAACTATAATCTCAAGGGATTGGGTCTGTCCTGAGTGAACAATAATATTTCAGAGATATTTGGCAACAAAGATTATAATTTAGAATAAGGTACAAATGATAATGAAAATGGTATTCTGATACTTAAGAAAATATTTCCAGATTATCATTTAAATAGCAGAACATTGTATTTCTTTTTTTTTAATTTTTTTTTGGTTGTAGTTGGATATAATACCTTCATTTTATTTATTTATTTTTATGTGGTGAGGATCAAACCCAATGCCCCTCCTATGCCAGGTGAGCACTCCACCACTGAGCCACAACCCCAGCCCCAGAACATTATATTTCATTCCTCTGTACCTATATGTGAAGGATACATTATACAAAGTTCATGAGATGTATCTACTAGTTAATCCAAGCATGTGTGGCATGCTTCAAGGTGATAGAGTCCTTTTTATGAAGGAAATGTTATGATTACTCTGTACATTTTTACCTCTGATTATTTTTAGAGCAAGAATTCCAAGGAAGTCTCTTTACATTGATTTTGAATTTTTATTTTCAGAATGCTAACAAATAGTCTCTTTTTCAAGGATGAATCCCAGGCTACTGTATATAAATTTCATTTGTTTATCAACTTGTATTTCAGATTCTTAGACCCAGTGAGAGTATAGCTATTGCTGTTAGGAATTATGTCTAGTTGTCAAGTATTTAATTCTAAACTCCGTCCTCTGATTAAATTCCAGGTTGTCAGGATATTGCAGACGAGTTCAGGGCACAAGAGATTGATGGACAGGCCCTTCTCTTGTTAAAAGAAGACCATCTCATGAGTGCAATGAATATCAAGCTAGGCCCAGCCCTGAAGATCTGTGCACGCATCAACTCTCTGAAGGAATCTTAACAAGAACAATAAGGCTTTGATATAACACCAGTTTTACTCTTTTTAAACAGACTTGTAAGGTAAAGGCCTAAGTTGGCCTAGAATATTACACTTATGATAGATGGCCAAGCACACTGGGAACTCCACATCAAGTGTTGACATTTCTTCTACAATATAATTATTCATCATACATTTTCATGATTAGTCAACATTGGTAAAATTGATTTTACAGGTTACATGCAACATTGAAAAAGCTGCTATAAAGGGCCATGGTATTTTTCAAAGAAACATGTTATGCTAGATAATTTTTAAAAGTGATGTTTATCATTAATATAAAGAATTCTTTTGAAAGTAACTTGATGATTTACACTTCTCTTTTGATTCACTTTTCTCATACATTTTTGTACTCTATTCATTCTCTAAAGGTTGTCATAAAGATATGGAATAATTTAAGAGTCCAATGATGGGATCATATGCATTGAAATATCAGTTTGCATTCTTAAAAATGTCTTTAACAAATGCTCTAAGAAAGGATTGTGTTCTAGCATAAATGATACTGATCTGGAGGTCAAAAGAGTTGATTTCTATTTCAGATAATTTGGCTTGCCTGACAAGTTTTCCTCTCAGAGTTTGTACATTTAGAGCTGTGCCTCTTGATAGAGATTGGTTTGCTCTCCAGAGAACATTTGCCAACATCTAAAAACATTTTGATTGTCATAGATCAGAACTGAGTTTGGGTGAGGTTGCTACTGATGTCTAGTAGGAGGCCAGAGATGTTACAAAATTTCTTACAATGTATAGAACAGCCCACCACAACAAAGAATTATCTAGTAAAAAATGCCACCAGTGCCAAGGTTGAGCAGCGCTGATGAGGAAGGAATAAAAAATTTTAATTCTTTCACTCAAAGGAACATTTTAAACAGATGGTTCATAATGAGGAAACATGTAATGGAAGTATTATTCATATAGCATTAATGTTCTGAAGTATTTTTCCAGTTTATTAAGCATAATAGAAAAAGGAGATAAATCCATAAAATTGGTCTATCAAATAAAGACTAGCTTACAATTTGGCACTCAGTACTGATTCATATTAGTTATCTTTCTTATCTCTGTGCTGCGCACTGATGAAGGCATAATATAATTACACTTAAGAACCAGGGCACCATTTTCTGGCAAGGAAGTTTTGGGTGGATATGTGATTGCACTTTGGATTTCTTCTAGTATTGAACATGCACATTCCTTTTTCCTTTACTAAATCTTTGCATGCTTCCTGCAGAATACTTACCAAGTGATTTCTCTTGGATGATCAGATCTAACTTAAAAAAACTATGAAGCAAAACTTTTTCACTAACTTTTCAGTTAGTTTTCCATAGAATTAGGACACTAAAAATATTGTGGAGTCCTGACAGCTTTATAGTCTTGGGTGTCAAATGTTTTATTTGAGAAGACTGTGAAAGTTTCTGTCATTTCCTATATCTTATCTTTTACATGTGATTGAAGGAAAATACATTGATATTTGGCCACGAAGTTCATTAAATGAAAACAGAGAGTCCGTGAGTTTCAGTCATTTCACTGCTGTTTTCAAAAAGATTGCGTTGAGCTAGTAAAAAACTAAAGATGTCACAAGACATCACAGATATTTATCTTTTGGCTTTGTGTACATTAGAAAATGTTGATTATTTTTATACAAAAATATAGCGGGTAATTTTTTTAATCTTTAGATGCCTCTTGTTTGAATGTATGCTTTGTGGGATTCTTTGTGTAGTTGTTTTTAAAAAAGATGTTTACTGATAGTCATGTGTAGGGTTAGAATGTGTAATATAATGGAAGGCTCATGTTCCAGACCCACAATAGCTTATAGTCTATGTTACATATTTCTTTGTATCACAGTTTTAATTATTGGATTAAAGTTCAAGGAAAGGTAGGTACTCTACAGTTTTCATTTATTAGTAGTTAATCATCAGGACATAATTGTGATGTGCTTTTCCCCTCATCTTGCAATTTCAGAACATAAAACATATGCTAAGCAGTATTAAGAGATTGTCCATGTATGGAGGGAGGGAGGCACAAAGGAAAATCTCCCCTGGAATTAAAACTTTATTGTAGTTAAATCAATTTTATATTAATTGTGGATTTTCAGGGATAGCTCCTCTAGCAATAATTATTTATCTCCCATAACTATTTTGTTTATAACCTTTAAGGTATTAACTTTGAACTATGTTGAAAGTTCCTTTTATTTTCTTCTTCTACTAATGTAAGTTGTTCTAAACTGGAAAACCCCTGTGCCCAGAGGAGTTTCTGTTGGAGAACATCTATTTATGGTCCTTGTAATTCTGTTGTAACCCACTCAAAACATACCTAGAAGATAAACTTGCTTTTTTCAAGTGAATTGATTTAGAAATGGCTCATCTGCTTATCAACTGGTAATTCTCCCATTGATGCAGCTATTTCTTTCTAGATGATTTAGTCTTCTTAATTTCAAAGCTTCTTATAGATAATGGAAATATATGATACTGATCGTCCACCTCTCCTGAAGTTTAGGCAGCTTCACTATGATATATGTGGGGAGAGTGCTATTGTTTTCATTTCCTTTCATATTACTGAGTGTTTTAGGGTTTTGACTAGAGAGAAGGAATAATAAGCAAAAGGGAACATGGGGGATTCTTCCTATTTTTGCTATCTAAATTTGCATTTTTTAACTTCTTTAAAGTGTTGCACTCTTCTCCCATTGGGGGGGGGGAGAAAGACCATAATTTTGAAATTTTAGTTGCTTTAAGCTTTGTGTTCCTAGTCAAAAACCTTGAAAGAGCTGGTTTGTAAAAAAGTTATTTTTATATGACATTAATATGCATCAAGCTTTGTGTAGACATGTGTAAAACACAGCTCTGCAGCTTTGATATAATCAGTACAGTAAAAGAGTTGTTGTCATTCTTTGGTGGCATATCACTTTTTAAAATTTGCTATGGAGTCCTTTAAACAGAACTTTAAGTCCAAGTTTAAAGGCCACCTAGGGATAGAGAAGGCAGAAATGAATTAAAGAAATGTTAATCAACAAGCTTGAGAATGGGAAAGCCACAGACCAGGACATTGGCCTTTTTGTTATTGTTGTTGTTAGTTTAGCCCATTTCAACACTGAACAGATTGCTTTACTTTTGATGTTAATGTTCACATTTTACCTAATTTAAGAAGGAAATGATATTTTAAAAGGTATTCCACTGTTTATTTTTGCTTCCTGGTATGCAGAAACACTCAGAGTAATACCTAAAACAGGTATTATTGTGACCATGCCTTTGAATAATTTTTTGACATACCTAATCATATATTGTGTGAAATTATACCAGACATTTATTCACAAAGATAAGTCTTGGATTGATCTCTGTCTCGTAGTACTCCAGCTCTCACTGACTTGTTCAGATAAATTTCTTAAAGCCTAGTATCTATATATTCAAGGTTTTAGTACCACCAAGGCACAAATATAGTAGGGAAACAATGGAGTTGTATAGTCTTAGCCTATGCTTTTATGTGTATTAATTTTGGAAACTATTATAGATGTAAGTGAATGAAGCTGACATTACTACTATGTCCAGTGGGTAAAATCCCTGACTGGAAACCCTTGAAATATTTTAAAGTTAAGTTTTCAACCAGAAGATGCTGGTTATATTTTGTGGTTCAAAGACTCTCATCCTTGGTGAGTGGCAGAAAATACATGCTGCCTACTGGTACTGAGCATTAGCTGATGGCCTGAAAGGGCTTCACCTCACTTCCTCCCCTAAAGCCTCCAGCCCCCACCAAAAACTGCACAAAAACTTTTTTCTTAGTCCTCTGCTTGAATACCTATAGAGGATTTTGTGATGGGGCTGATTATAGAGATAGCTTGGGAGGCCTAATGTCTAACAGTTATGTTTCAGTAAAAACTTTTGGGCAGTGGAGACTGGCCCTTCTATGCAAATTGTTTGCTCATTCTGTTTCTCATGCACAAAATGTGAAACTAGTTGTGTCCTTAGGTTTTGAGGGGGTAGGGGAGGGGTTGGAGGAAGAAGTGGAGGAAGAGACCAAATAGGAAGAAAAGCATTCCAGAACCAAAAGGATCTAGAAGAATTTATATTACATGAAATCATCTAATGTAAAGGTGGCCTTCATTAATAGTTCAAGATAATAAATTATAATTATTTGATTCCAATTTTAGCAGGTTTGTTTTAACCTTTTCATCTCCATGAACAAAACACCCGACATTAACAACTTAGGAAGAGTTTGTTTTGCAGAGGTTCTGTCCATGGTTGGCCAGCTCCATAGCTCTGGGCTCAAGGTGAATTAGATCATCATGGCAAAAGGTGTGTGGTGGAGAATAGCAGCTCAGATAAGGCAACCAGGAAGCAGAGAGCTCTATGTTCACCAGGGACAAAATATGAACTCTGAAGGCACAACCCCAGTGACCTACTTCATCCAGCCCACCCTGCCTGCCTATAGTTACCACCACCCAGTTCATGCATATCAGTGGATTAGTCTACTGACTAGGTTACTCCTCTCATAATCTAATCATTCTTGCATTGTCTCACGCATGAGGTTTTGGGACCTCATATCTAAACCATAATAGTGTCTGGTTTCTTTATTTTTTCCCCTTCTCCTCCTTTCTTTCGTTGTTTTTTCTGTTTTTTTTTTTTTTTTTGGTAGTGGTGGTAATGGGGGTCCTGAACCCAGGACCTGAAACTATCCCTGAACTACATCCTCCAGCCTACTATCATTTTTACTGGGTTAAAATTTGCCTATAATCAAACTCACTGTTTATAGCACCAATGATACATACATTAGTAATTTTTTATTTCTGAAGATGAAAGCTATTATAGTTGAATATGTCAGAGATTCAAAGGTTCATTGTTATAATTGAGTGGCCAGAATTATGGAGTTTTCATTTTCAGATACTACAGTTAAATCACCTTTGTAGACTTGTTATAAAGAAAGGTATTTTAAGATAGCATTTTGTGGTTGTGTCTCAGTCTAAGAATTGGGTAACTAAAAGCTATAGTTTTCTCTTTACAGTCTGAATTTCATTAAACACAAGCCTACCTCTATTTCTTTGATGCAAAGCAGAATGGATTGTGACATGCACTATTTAGCCCACATTCATTGATACTGACATTTTATAAATTTATTTAGAGCATTTGATGAAATCAAATCAGATAAGCACAGATACACTATTAGGAAAAATTAAATATGCAATCTTATTAAGATTTAATTTCAACCCAGTAAGCTGTACATCTTAAAAAACATTCTTTGGTTACATATCCCTCTTTTCTTTTGTTAGAAGATTATAAATCATGCCCTATAGTTTTCTTCATAGCAGCAGTACAAGCCATTTCTTGATACAAAATGTTTAAAATTATACTACCTTCTTTGGAAAAAGTGTTTCCTATTTTTTTTTAATAATTTCCAAGTTTTACATGTTATTTTTAGAGCTTATTTAATCTCTTTTAAATTATACTATGAAAAAGTTCTTTCTGAAAGTTGTAGGGCACTAATACAAATATAATCATTACCATCATATTCCAGAGAAGAATGGGGAGTCCCTTGCAGTCATTTTTAAAATCTTAAATGTAGCATCTTAATGCAAGCTCTTCATTTTACTCAGACACATGCACATAACCCTTGCAAATGTCACATTCATGGAACTTTTAGAGAACTATCTACCACAAATGCTATTTTTCCCCTTTTTTGTAGCTTGTGAACAATTTTATTTTCAGATGACAATTTTAATCAAATGTTAGATAAAAGATACATAATGAGTTTGGTTAAAGCTTTATACTTTAGAAATTGTTTTTTCTACTGCCTTTTGAAAAATACAATTCTCAGTGATACTGGTGGTATTTAGTGAGAATCCATAGAAGAATGTGTTGTTTAAAAGAAGTATAGTAGTGAGTGAATTTTAATTTGGAAAAAATGAACTAATTTTAAAAGGTTCTTATGCTTGCATGGCATAGTTTTAATTAAATGTAAAAGTAATGCAGTAGAATTCTTTTTAAACTGCTAAATTAACTCCACTAATCACCTTAAGGATTGATAGCTGCCATCATTTATTGGTTGAAAAGTTAAACTTCATGGCATGTTGTTGAGTATTAAATCTATGTTTTGTGGAGCTTTAACTGAGGGCAGTGAAAAAGCTCATGCTTACGAGAGGTGGGTGCCCTTGAAGTAAATATCAACCTATTTTAGAAAGGACTTTTTTGTGCTTCAAGTAAACTAGCGGTGTCCAATGTTTAATTTTTTTTCATAATACTTAAAAGTATTCTTTTTCTTTAGATAGTATTAAAAATGAGTAGAAATAAATCATATACTTACTAAATTAACATGATAAGCGAACCTAAAACACACTGGCTTGGAGACTGAGTTTTGACTTAGTTGGTTAATTAGCTGTGTGTGCACTTTGAGGTAACTGTTTTTAACCTCTTTGAATGTGCAGTGTGGTGCCTACACTCTTCAAATGTTGATTTGGATTTAAATAATCATTTATATACCTCTCAGCTCTAAAGTTACTATGGTAGGCCACAAATGAGATATTTTTAAAGTTGCTCCTACTCAGTTCTTTTTTGCTTTTTAATGGTTCATTTGATACTTAATTAGTAAACATCCATTTTCTGTGTCACTTACTTGCTCTAAGGATTGAGGTAGATAATTCATACAGACAAGGAAATGAGGACCTTTTTCTAAATGCTACCTATTAACTACTGAACATAAAAACACATATGCATATTGACATTCATGCACTTTCATCCATTTAGCAAACCATCTGAACACTTATATTGTTTATGGAATACATGATGAAGAAACTAGTAAGTAAAATCTTCCTGACCAAAGTTCATTGTGGCTTAAATGAACAAGGTCATAGTTAGTACTAATTAATGTACTGACTGTAAACTTGGAACTGAGAGGGAATTTTTTATGTTTTGGGTAAAAGACTAGATGGCATACAAGGGGTCTGAATCAATCACAGTTCTTGTAACATTTCACATACTGCACATCAACTGACCATGCACCTGATAGGCTACAAAATTAAGGATCCTTTAAGAGCTTATATTTTGAGATTGTTGTGATATCTTTATTTGGTGCTTGAGTGTTTCAGAATTGTGGCTGTACATGGTGAGTGGTAGAACAATGATTCACTGCACATTTTTAACTACAATGGCTTTCTATACAGTATTGACACTGTAGCAGTTTTTTAAAATTGAAACGTCTCAAAGTGAATCACCAGAATAGATTTTTTTTAAGCTAGAAAGACTACAAACAATAAATCTTATTGTATTTTAAGGGTATTACAGATAGTTACCTTTTAAAAATATATGAAAATTGGTAATAAAAAAGCCTATGTATTGCATAATAAAAGGGTGCCCTTTAAAATGCAGAACTGCTGAAGAAAAAACAGTTCCCTGCTTGAACTGGCAAGAATCCGGGAAGTAAACATGGAATGGGAAAATCAATTAATTGGGTAAAATTCCCTTGTCACTCTGGGATTCTGTGAATCACATTGTAATTCTAGCTTTAAACATTAACATCAATTGACAGTTATATTCTCTATAAAGATATAAAACGAAAAACTATTTTAAACTTTTATGCATCAGAGTTGCAGTTTTTTAAAGCAGGAAAATGTCCAACAAAGTGTTCATTTAGAATCTACATTAGACTCTTTCAAACTGTTCAAAAACACTTAACTTCTGAAGTAGCCAGATAGCCTGGGTTTTGTAAATTGTTCCATGAAACTAGTTAAAAATTACTTTTAAATTTTTAATTTTTAAAGTGTTCCTAATTTTTCAGATATTTTATGCTATTGAAATACCTACTATGTATGTACTTTAATATATGTATATATGTTCTTAAATTTTAAAAAGTCAACTGAGTGCAAAAGATGGTGCAATTTTGGATATATAATTCCCACGTTGTTTGATTAAATTCCCAGTCACCTCATTTAAAAAAAAAAAAAAGTTTTGTTTTTCCCATAAAGGGGGAAAAAGTCAAAGTTACAAAAAGTATCTTCACAGTAAGGATTACACTTGCAGTGAAGGCTGGATGTTACAGACGGCAGTGCCCAGGGATAGGTGCTGCTGCAGTGGAAAGGCTTTTCAAGGCTCTTGATTAAATCAGTACTTTTTGACTTGTTGCTCATTAAATTTTTGTTAATTTAACAAAGGCAAAGTGTTGTGATAAATTGTTTCAAAAATGTTGATGCTTCAAGTACATTAACTAGTTTAATTATTTCTTTTGGTTCCTCCACTTGTTCTAAAATAGGACTTTCATATTATCAAAATCTCAAAAGATGACCTACCTGGGATGAACTGAACAAATATCACCAAGGGAGAAGGAAAGCATTTTTTATCTTTACTGAAAAAAATTAAGATTATATATAGATGTATTCTTACATTGGACATTGTAATAGAGTCCTCCTTATGAGAAATGGAATAGTTTTAGCACTCTTAGCATTAGAATTCCTAGACTGGTGTCTATAGCTACAGTTTTAAAATGTATAACCTGAAAATGAAGTTAATTTTGCATTATAAGAGCACACCATGATCTATGTAAAAAGTGTTCATTTGGTGTATTTTTTTAAAAAAAGAGAAAGCACTTTCATATTAACAAGTAGCATGTGTATGAATTTTAGATTTTCCTGTTGTGTCTATTCAGTGAAGTAAGATTGAGCATTCAAATGTTTGTTGATGACAACATTAACTATTAAATGAAAGCACCTTATACTCTGCTGCTTAAATTTGCTTGTAATTGCACCTTTGTTAAACCTGCACATTTTCACATAGAATGTTGTTGTAACATTGCTTCATGTGGGTCTGGATAGAAGATAGTGGGCCTGCAGGATCATTTATTTATATTGTTTATATTACAATAATATATTGTAGACCATTGTAAGTTCATTTCTTTACAAATAAAAGCCTCTTCCATTTGGCTGGTCTATTGAATTCTTTTTTCTTTAAGCTTATGCAATATGGGGAGAGATTGTAAATAGTTTAAATTCTGATTTGAAATCTGCAAAGAGTATAGTTGTTACTAGTTAAGCTCAATATGTTTAAAAGTATTTCATTTCTACATTATGGCCAATTGGAAGACAATACATATATTCAGAGGAAAAAGTAACAATGAAATAAGAAGATCCAGGTTTAGACCTTTCTAAACTGGTTAAATATATACCCTATTCACTTGAAAAAAGAATTACTTCAACTGAACTTTGGATACAGTTGGCTATTTGCATTGTGTTTTTAATAGAACATGTGATTTTTATTCCTGAATTCTATTTTTAAAAAATATTTTTAGTTGTAGATGGACACAATAACTTGGTTTTTTTTGTTTGTTTTTTAATGTGGAGCTGAAGCTCGAACCCAGTGCCTGACACATGCTAGGCAAGTGCTCTACCCCTGAATTACATCCCCAGCCCTGTATTCTCTTTTTTTAAATTGTACCATGCAGTAGAGTGGTTCTCTTCTGTTCAATGTCTGCTGTTATCAGACCGTGATCACAGCAGTGTGTATATGATTCAAGTCAAGCCAAATAGTCATTTCCTGAGAGTTTACAACTGAAACTAGGAGGTGCTTTAAACTGGAATAAAAGTCCTTGGCTGTTGGCAGCCAGAATGCCCACCGACAAAACTGGAGAAATTCCTAGTATTTTACCATATCATCTTGCCAATAAAGAGCTTTTTCTTAGAATAGCTCAGATTGGGTTTTGTATTACAGGTGGAGTATTCCTTATCTGAAATGCTTGGGATCATAAAGCTTTTCAGGTTTTGGAATATTTGTATACACTTTATTGGCTGAGCATCTCTAATTCAAAATTCAAAACTTTTTTCAGTGTTAATGCTTAAGTTTCAGAATTCAGAGCATCCTGGAGTAGAGGTGTTCAACCTGTACTCAGAATTCAGTTCCTAAATTCCCAACAGCATTTTCCATTTTGTCCTTCTAGGTGGCTAGTGGTAACTAAATAAATGTGTGCTCAAGGAAATGATTTTCTTTACTATGGCACCTCAAATCCGTAAGACACTGCAATTTCAACTGAAAAATAATTAGGAAATCACATTCTTTACATTTGACTCTAAAAAACAATGAGTGGGAACATGAACTCTGGAGCTAGACCTCTAGGTTTGAATCTCAGCTCCTCTAATCATTAGCTGTGTGATCTTAAATGGGTTTCTTAATTCTGATGTCTTAATTTCCTTATCTGTAAAAACAGATAACAATAATACCAATCAGAGAGTTGTTTTAAGAATTAAATCAGTTGCTGCATTTAAAATACTTAAAACAGTTCTTGGCACACAACGCTTCCTAAATCTTTGCTGTTATTAGTGCTCCATAGCACTTGTTTTAGGACATTTTCAAAAAACGGAAAGTAATGCATTTGTAGATCATGAACTCAATGGGTTACAATTAGCATTTGTAAAAAAATGACACTAATTATGTATAAAGTAGGGATAAATATTTTTATGACACATAAACTTCAGTATGTATATAAATGAATATCACTCCTGATGTAAAAAAAATATATATCTTACTATAAATGTGAAAAAAATCCCAATTTTAAAAATGGTTTAGATTCATGCAACATATATTAGTATATGTAAATGGTGATTAAAGTAGCTACATAGCTTAATTCATAAAGTGAATTGAGATTATTCTGCTACTCACATTGCTTTACTCCAATGGTTCTTAACTGGGAGCAGTTGAGCCCACCCACCAAGGGAGGTTTAGCCTTGTATAGACATTTTTCATGGTCATTACTGTAGAAGAAGAGCTACTGGCATCTGGTGGGCAGAGGACAGGGATGCAGCTAAACATCCTACGATGCACAGGGCAGTTCCCCACAATAGTTATCAAGCCCCAAACCTCAATATTACCAAGAATGAGAAACCCTACTTTACAGTGTGATATGTTGCTAATATGATTATGATTTGACATAACTGAAAATGAATCTAGTATTTCATGAAAGAGACCTAGTCACTACTTCCAATTCCCAGGGTAAACAGCTGGAATTCTTTTCCAATTCTTCCAATAATATCTGCATTAAGAATCAATATATTTTTTAAATTACCTAATTAAAATGAGCCAATCTCATTCATTAAATTTTATACCAAATCATTTAAATAAAATAGTCTTAACTTTTTTTCTCTAAATTTGATAAAATGTTTATTAAAGTTGGTAACGAAATCTCAGATTTACATAACATTTGCATCCACTTTTGGGGGGCAATACAAACATCAATGTGGCCAAACGTTATTATTTAACTTTTGTATTAATAAGCAAATTAATATTTATAGTGTTCCTGAACAGACTTTAAAAACTTCTTGGCATCTATTTTGTTTTTAAAAGAAAATACTACTTAATAAATATAGCCCTAAAAGATATGCCAAAAAACCTATAAAAAGTTAAGGGGAAAAGAGCTTCTGTTCTTTTTTTTTTTTTTTTTTTCGGTATGTCCCCAGTTGCCATTCTTACTAGTACAATTCTGATTCTTGTTGTAGCTGTTTTAATTAGTTTTAACATGAAACATTAACAAATTATTATTGATATAGGCTTTTCAATTTGCTCAAGATTATTAATTGTAAGTGGAATGAAGCAGCATTTCCAGTTGACGAACGGATCCTTAGGTAGTGTGATCTCTCTTAAGTAAAGCTTGTGACAATTAAACCAATAAATTGCAGCAATGAGAAAACTGTTGACAAAGTACAACCAGGGAATGTTCATCTCAATATATGCTGGAATTTGTACTTTAAATAAAATGATGACAACCTGAAGTAGTACAAATGGCAACCAGGTACCAAGAAAACAGACAATAAGCTTGGACAAGAGTATTTTTTTAGAGTTCACAGTATAACCAGAGTGGGATGAAAAGGGAAAATATAGTATAGTTTCATTCTTATAGGATGTTATCCTAATAGCTTGGATCAAGGTAATAACTTCTGACCAAGAAGTTATAAGAGCCACAAGTAAAATCAGCATCATGGAAAATGATAGCCAGTAACTCTGAATGCTGACATAAAAAGGACACTGGTAAGAATAAACATTCTGTGCCTTCAGGCTTTGGTAAATAGCTGGATCTCCCAAAACATAAACAAGGACTGAAATCCAAATTAAAATGACGATGAAGAAATAAAATAACTTTTGACACTTAGATGAAAGCTTGTTGGTTTTAAAGAAATTCAAGCAATAATCTATACAAGCTATCAGGAAAACCGGGTAATGCAAAAAGCCATAAGTAAAGGAAATAATTTGAGTAAATAGGCAGATGTGATATTTAGTAAACCTAATGCCTAAAAGAATAAAATCTGTGAAATAGGATATAATGGAAATGTTCACCAAAAGTAAAAGATCGACGAGTGCTAGTGAAATGCAAAAATATTCCATAAAATTTTGATAGGTGTTTTTTCTTCTCATTCCTAGTGTGAGGATATTCAACAATATTTTCCCAAGTATGATCAAATACAACAGACTATTAACATCTAGAGGATGGTCTGTTTGGTGTAACTGGTACTGAAAAGAACAGTTCTCTGGAGAAAGAGCTGTCATAGTTTTAGTTTAATTTCAAGAAGACCTGCTGAAATGCATGATAAAGCACTGCTGCACTTTCCATCCCTGTAGAAAAAAAAAAGCAAAAAGAACACTTTGATGTTATCTTAATGCTCTATCTGTTTTAAAACCTTACAAAGCAAGCACCTCTTTCCTTGAGGGGGAAAAAAAACTAAATCATTTTCCAAAATAAGTAAATATATAAATAGGAATTCTATTTCTCATATTACTTACAGGATATAGAACGTGATCAAGAAAAGTTAACGTGAATACACTGGTCATTTTTTGAGAGCCAGACATTCCAGAACTCTGATATGTAAACTAAAATTTGTATATAAATGACTAACTTCTATATTAAGTTTTAAAAACTTGTGAAGGAGATGTAGAAATACTTTTATTTACTGAAGCCAAAATACATGCTTAAAATAGCAGCCTGGTGGTAATACTCAGAACAATCAATGATAGTTCTCATATAGTCCCACTGACTCTGAACAACATTACCACCACCCCTTTTTATCTTCCTGGCAGTGAAAGTAAGAGTCAATGCATATGCATCCTTAATCATAGCAGTTTTCACTTATTTTTAGCTGTAGGATCATCATCTAGATGAATTTTTTCTTTGAAGCTCAAACATTTAAAAACAGATGGTTCAGCTGAAAATAATGAGAACATATGAAAAGGAAACAAGGATATTTTCTGGAAATGATCTTTCAGGTATGGCCCCTGAAGAAAATAAAGGGAAAAGAATAAGATTTAACACAAATAGATACCTGAGGACCTTAAGAAGTGGTAGGAAATGCAAAGAAGTAGGAGTTGAGGGTTGGGTCATTCTGCATTTGGAAGCAAGAAAGAAAAGTGATGAAGTCAGAAAGGAAGAAATTAGGAAAGAATGGAAGAAAGGAGATTAAAAAAAAAAAAAGGTTGACTCAAAGGTATTTCTGCAATACTGTTTAATCACTGTGTAAAAAGCAAATTCCCACCCCAAGAAACCAAACCAAACCTAAACAATAAGAACAACAAATATCACCCTCTGGAGACTGGTTAAAAGTAATATTATGATATACTATTATGTACCTAATAAGAACATTTCTCGGGCTGAGGTAGAGCACTTGCCTAGCACGTTCGAGGCCCTGGGTTCGATCCGCAGCACCACATAAAATAACAACAACAAAAAGTATTGTGTACAACTATTTAAAAAAAATTATTATTATTTTTTAAAAAGAACATTTCTCTGCTCCTTTTGTGGCTGAGGCAGGAGAATGGCAAGTTCAAGGCCAGCCCAGGCAATTTAGCAAGACCCTGTCTCAAAAAAAAAAAAAAAAGGCTGGGGATGTAGCTCACTGGTGGAGCATACCTGGGTTCAATTCCTAATACTGCAAAGAATAAAACAACAAACTCCCACAAAAAATTTATTTCTCAATATAGGAGGAAGATTTAGTTTTCTACTGAAAACTATCCTTTCTATACTTGTTCAATTTTAAGCCTTGTGAATTTTTTAATTGTTAAAAACATGTCTTCATAAAATTTTATAATGTTAAGTGCAGGTTATATAATTATGCAGCAATACATAATCTAATTCTTATAATAAATATACATGCATAAAAATGATTAAAACAGTACACATCAAGTTATTAATATGATAGAAATGTACTTGTACATTTTCTGTATTTCCTAAATTTTACACAATAAAATAAGGGAATAGTGTGTTTGAAAAGCAAAAGAACTGAATTTGACTAAAAGCAAACCACTGATGATTAAAAAAATCCAAAGGAGTAGTGAAAAGCTTGAGGGTAAAGAAATCAGAGCGAAAGAAGGCTGTCAGGTTTGTGGACAGATTGAATTCTTACAGGGCCATAAATGTATTGTCATAAACTTACCGTTTATTATACACAAATGATCCATCTGCGCGCACGCACAACACACACACACACACACACATATGTAAAGATAGTTATAAAAATGCAAAAGAACCAGTCAAGCTAGTACTTTCCTATACTCATTTTTTCCCCTATAGTCACACATACTACAGTGTTTAACTTGACTTGGTCTAAAGAAGTTCCATGCCAGATTTGGAAGTACAAAGACACAAACAGCTACCCACTTGACAACTTGGCAAATGCCATTGGCCTCATAAGTGGTGTTCCTTGAATAAGAAGCCTAGGTGGAATGATCAACCAGGTAAAGTCTGAGGACCAAAGGAAAAAACAAACTTCATTTTAAACCAGCTAATGTTGGTTTAAAATGGACTGAGGAAGGGAAATACTACAGGTTCATATTTATAAAGACCATTATTTAAGAGAAGTAAAAAGAATGATCTATATTATGTGATTTTTATAGCCTCTATTCCAAAATAAAACAAGTAAAGCTAAATAGGCACCATCTAAGGGCTGGTTCCCGAGTTTTCATTTCATCATTGAGTCAGGTGGAGTCCACTGGAAGTCCACAAAAGCTGGCTAATACCTACAAAAACCCAATGTGTCCTAGGGGCTCAGAAAGGTCTGCAGAGGAGGAGGATCAACAATGCTCACCAAGAGCCTCTGCGGAAAAGGACCAAATAATCAGAAGGAAGTAAACTGGAAAATGAAATTTGGGTCATTTTACAATGGTTCCTGAGTATCAGGATCACAAAAACCAATCAAAATGTTCTTGAATGAGACCAGGTTTATATCTGTACTCCAGTTCTCTAATAACCACTAAAAGTATTCAAAGTTACAATATCTTGTTCTATAAACTGGCTCCCAGAAAAAAGACAAATCCTTTAATAAGCTACCCATCCTTAATTTTCTCATGAAAAGTATTCATAGTAACTACAGTGATACAGAAATCTATAAAATATGGCTTTTTCCAACATGGTTTTTAAGTATATTTGAATCAACTCATATGACACCTAAAAAGTTACTGTGGAAATCCTTTACAAGGCATCTTATCTCTTCTACAGGCTTGCTGAGTGCTCTGGCTCCCTTTGGAAGGATTAGACTCCGGGGAAACAAACCATTCACTGACCCAATTCATTTTTAACACACCATACTTACTCTCCAAGGGATCCTCTTGACTAATGGTCCTCCTATTTTATGTTACTGCTGGTCCCTTGAATTCATTGTGCTATACCAAAAGGTTATGTGAGTTAGCCCTGTGTGAAGACAGAAAACAAAACAACCATTAACAGCCATTTGGCAGGGGGATGGGGAAGGGCAGGTACTGGGGATTGAACCCAGGGATACTTTACCACTGAGCTTCATTCCCAGCCCTATTCTTTATTTTTTGAGACAAGGTCTCAGTAAATTGATTAGGACCTTGGTAAACTGCTGAGGCTGGCCTCAAACTCACAATTCTTCTGCTTTAGTCTCCCAAATTTCTGGGATTAGACAACAGCCATATTAATGAATGAAGTCCATCTAGTGTGACTGGCTCCAGACCCCTGCTGAGAAAAACTTTCACTTTCTAGGGGATTATGGTCCATAACTGCTTATGTTCTTAGTTTCTTTCCAGCAAAAAGGAGGGAAGAGAACATTTAATTGAAAGTTCACAAAACACGATGGAAAACGGACACACATAACATGGCATCCGTATAAAGAAATCTTGCTTTACATGTCAGATCTCACCCACAGGCTCCAGTTAAGCCATCAGTTCTGTTTCACTTCAAAATCCTTTGACACTTGCTGCATGCTAACATAAAAAAGTTTTTTAAATGAAAATTTACTATATTTTCCCCAACAAGAAAAATATAGTGAGCAAAGTGGCAAAATTTTACACTTCACATATTGCTTTAGTATCTGGCTTACTGGCAGACAGTGGGATTCTCATTTACACTTCATCAGTTGAGATCACATATATTGGGTAACTTCTGGAAAGTTCTGTGTACATTCATGAGGGATGCAGAGTAGAAAAAGGTCAATGACTTCAAGTATTAGTGTAATCAAAAAACTGCTACATAATCTCACTTTTATCTAAGAAAAGTTTAACAAAGCCATGTGCATTAAACAGGACTGGACTGCTACTGTGTAGAAAATGGAGTTAGCACTGTCACTGTATTTGTGAGCCTGATAAGTAGAAAGAGCCTGTGGGAGAAATAATATAGTGAGCCTTTTAGTCCTTAGAATTTCTATGTATCTTTTAGTTAGTCCTTAGAACAATCATGAAAAGTCTGTTTCCCCCACCAGGAAGAAACAGACTGGGGTTAAGTATACACATTTTCCCCAACTGGTAAGTAGTGGAGCTGAAGTTCACCCTCAGTTCTGATTTAAAAGCTTGTGTTCTCCAGTAAGACACAATCAGGGACCAACTCATGACTGGAAATGTAAAAAGATCCCAATTTACATATGTGAATGAACTTTCTAAAAAAGTACCATCCAAGTTAAGATAATTATGTTAATTACTGATACCCATAGGAGACCATGACTATCAATTTGGATAATAATTTTATTCCTCTAAATATAAACTCTTCAAAATGTGGTTCTTGCTTGATGTTATGTATTCAAATTCAATGGGAAAAAATAACTCTGATAACTCAAGAAACAGATGTTTTGTATTTATCTGATTACATAGTAAACACCCAGTATAGAAAAATTAAGAAAATATAGGAAACAACCTTTAATAAAAGGTCATATAATTTACCTGGTACAAAACTGAAATTACACACACAAAAACGTATACAGTGAAATTACCTACCCTACTCAATACTTCAACTTCTCCATCCTTCCCATTGGCTATCTAACCCAGGTTCCTTTTATAGATAAAACCACTATAACTTGTACATCTTTCCAGAGATATTCTATAAGAACATTTTAAGAAGAAATTTGAAATTTCCATGTTGTTGTTAAGGCAATTATCAAGGGATTCTTGATTTGCCCTTTCCTGAGTCTTATTTACATAATGAAAATCTGATAAAAGAGCCATGGAGTTAGAACACAACCAAGCATTAGTTAATGATCTGCCAGACCACAGGAGTCATTTCCACCAAACCAATCATACTACAACTGTCCACAAGGTAGGTCAGTGAGGCTAGACAACAAGCAGGGGTCACCTCAGTGTATGGGATAGGTGATTTTCATTTTTCTCCT